AAACTCACAGGTGTGATATTCGTGGATATGTCGAAGGCTTTCGACTGTGTCAAACACACCATCTTGGCACAGGAGCTATCCGACATTGGGGTCGGCGGTACTGTCCAGATATGGTTCACTAGTTACCTGAGTGAGCGGCTTCAACGCGTAGTCGTGGGCGGAAATTGCTCGGAATACGTCGCATGCAGTCGAGGGGTGCCGCAAGGATCCGTCCTCGGCCCCTCCTGTTCACACTATACATCCGTAACCTTCGATGCTGCTTGCCCCAGCAGGTCACAAACCAGGAATTTGCAGACGACATTGCAATTGAAGCCTCGGGCAGTTGCGAACAAGTGTGCTCTTCTCTAAGCACAGCCATCACTGGCCTGTCGCAGTGGTTGGAGGACCGCGGGCTAATGCTGAACCAAAAGAAAACGCAAGCTCTGTTGATTACCCCAAGAGGCCCAGCCCCTGACACAGATAACATTCGAATTCGCTGTGGGAATGCAGCCCTTGCAGTTGTGGAACAAGCGCGGTACCTGGGCGTAATGGTAGATGGGCAGCTCTCCTGGGAGCCTCACGTCAATCACACAATCCAGCAGGTGCGGAAGTCAGTAGGTGCGCTGTGGCGGAGCCGCCGAAGCCTCACCCTGGCGTCAAAGATCCTGTTTTACAGGTCGATGATCCAGGGTAGGTTGTCGTACGCTTCCAACGCCTTTTATCCGTCACTTCAAATTGGCAACATGGAGCCCCTCACACGTCTAACGAAGTGCGCTATCCGCGGCTTCTTCGGTCTGCCACCGTGGTCGCGCACGAGCCCGATCTTTGAACAGCTCCGCCTCACCACCCTGGAGGACATGTTTAACATTAAGCTCCTCATCTTTGTCCGTCGTTGTCTGTTCTCCCGAGCTAGCTCCCTCTTCACCAGCTTCTTCGTGAGAGTTACTGGTGACCGCACTCGGGGAGCAGCACATCACCTCGTTCGAGTACCATTTTGGCCCTGTCCTGCGGGTCGAGCGACCATGCAGTTCATCGGCGCAGTCCTGTGGAACCAGCTCCCGCCTGATCTCCGTTCCGAGCCCAGCCACCTTCAGTTCTGTGCCCTGCTAAAAGCGCATCATGGCTCCGTTTAAATGCTTTTCGGCTAGTGTGTTTCTGTGGTATAGCGGACTGAAGAATAGTAAACGTGTTTTGCAATATATGTATGAAGCTATTTTGTATTTAGTATGTTCCCATTCCGTTTTTGGTTTGGTGTAGCCCTGAGGTTGATTGCCTATTTATTTCTACCCTTCCTCTCTCCATACTTCTGCCCCCCCCCTCTCTCATTCCTTCTGTCGTCCACATGTATCAAAGGAGGCGAAATCGCCTGTTTGTGGTGCGACGTTAAATAAACTTCTACAACAACAACAAGCTGTTTTCATCCGTAACCACAATCCTAATCTATGCATTCAGAAAGAAAATGTCACAAAATTGAGACTCTTCACCTAGCATTCACACACGTATTCATTCGCATACACCTACACCTCACACTTCCTCACTCTATCACATTCACCTGCTTCCACGCCTTCATTTCACTCACCTTTTGTAGTAGCTCACACCGTCGGAACACTCTCACATCTTTTCTTCTAATTTCTTTCGTCTTCTTTCCCACTTTAGTTTTTTTTCTTCACACCTCACCTTGTATACTCCCCACTATCTTATAACCTATAAGTAGTTTGTTTCTCCGTATAGCCTCTATTGTGAGACGATTTTCCCTGATGATAGTCTCAAGAAAATCGATTAGGAACAACCATTTTAGATACATGTATTCTCATTCATCATTTTGTAATGTCCGCTTCACTTATACTATTAATCGCATTATAATTTAAGCGCAGTTTAGCGCGTATTGGCTTATGATTTCTTTTTCTTCTGTTTGTATTTAGCGCTTGACCTGTTATTATTTTCCTTCTCTTTATTTTGCGCTGCATATTATTATTTTTCTGGTATTATAAAATACGCAGTTGCACGTGCACGTGTTCTCATTTTTTGTTAATCCCATATATAGGATTAGACTTCAAGACGCATTTGCAGCCTCGAAAATGGTCGATGTGTGAAGCAATGTTATTGAAGATGCATTTTGATCTTTCCCACAATGCCTCTCCTTATTTAAAATGACTGAATAGAGGTTACTCACTGGCTAAGACCCCCAGGAAAGGTATCTGTGTGCAATTATTGCTGATGAATTGCAATTACAAGTGGTGGAAATAGACAAGGAGTGGATTAGGTGAATATTAGCACCATCCTAGCCTTGAAGTAGTGTTGTAAAGTGCTCGCAGATCAATATGAACTAAAGACACTACATGTTTGGGGCATTATCAGTTGTGTTCAAGTATGTACACATAGTAATAGTGGAATACTCTGTTGGTACTAGCCTGCCTCATCAATGAGAAGAATTTCATCCTTCGAGATGTTAATGCTTCCGCCGACTCTTAGGAGTAACATACCACGACCGGCGTACCAACCAATCTATCCTGGAAGAAATCAATGACATCATCGGAGCAAGGATGCGGCTAGCGAACGAAGTCAAGAAATTTAAGTTGATGTGGTTTGGCCATGTTACGAGACATGACGTTTTCTCCAAGCCCTTCCTGCAAGGATCAACTCCTGGATCTCGACCGAGAGGAAGGCCCGCAACATCATGGATTTCTAACATTAAAAGTTGGACGGGTCTTCCCTTGCATGCTCTCTCTCATGCAGCACACGATAGAGTTGGATTCAGAGACATCATTCACAATTCTGTCGCTGATTAATGCCTCTACGATCACCTTGTGATTATGAGTTATATATACATACATACATACTGTTGTGTATAGTGTTTGTCGCCGTATTGTCCCTCTCCGTATTGTCTCTCTCTCTCTGATCTATAAGTATGCATGCTCGTTGTAAATAAATCAGTCTTTGTCTTGTCCCACAATGGACTCCTGCGTGGCATCAGGCTAACACAACATGGTGGCAGCTATGGTTTCTACGACTGTAGGAAAGAACCCTTCGCCTCTAGCCCGCAGTCGAGCATCCCCAGCTCCGGGACAGTCTCGTCATCGTCGTCGTCATGCGTCGTCGTCGTCAGTCTGAGAAGTTTGGTTGTTAGTCCAGTCATGCCCGGCATGCACTACGCTCTACTCGTTTCGTCCTACTCGTGGACTCTACTCTTCAGCAGCAGTCACGCCACTGCTCCTTGTCTCTGCTGACTGTCGTCCCTGTCCAGCCAGTTCGTCGTCCTCGCATGCTCAATCTCTCGGCAGCTCCGATAAGCCTGCTGTTGAGCACTGATCGCCATGTCCCCATGCCGTGCTCAACCCATCCGTCTGGGAGAGATAGAGGTGTCACGGTACGAGCGCTCCGGATCGACCAAGTCTGACTCGTGACGGAAGGAACTGCCAGGCGTATGCCGGTTAGCTGTAGCTCATTCCCTCTTTGTGTTTCATTTGTTTTCGTTTTGACGTTCTGTGCTTCTTTATTCTTTCTCTTCACTCTCGATCTCCTCATTTTTTTGCCTCGAACTTCTTCAGTTTTCAAAAAAAAAAAAAATTCTCTTCTGTGCAGATGCTAGGCATGCCCTGTTACTAACAGTACTGTACTGGTGTACGTGTAAGCCCTAGCTCGTCTCTCAATCTTGTTTTTCATGTTCCTCTTTCTTCCCGGAAAAGGGATATATTGTGTAGATACATCTTTTCTCTCTCTTCCCCTCCTTCCCCAGAAAGGGAGATGTTGTGTATAGTGTTTGTCGCCGTATTGTCCCTCTCCGTATTGTCTCTCTCTCTGATCTATAAGTATGCATGCTCGTTGTAAATAAATCAGTCTTTGTCTTGTCCCACAATGGACTCCTGCGTGGCATCAGGCTAACACAACACATACTAGCCTACAAAAAAATGTTTTGTAGGAGGTGCTTCTTCTTAAGGCATAGATGCATAGAATGTTTTTGTTAGCTCCATATGGGCTATATCTAGGCTTGGTTGGATATTTCCACCTATGGTTTTTTATTGGCAGGGGAAACTGGGAAGAACAAAACCAATTTTTGAAGAGGCCAAATCCTATACATAGGATTTTGAAAATTCTGGACACTCTTGCACGGGAAGGCCTGTTACAGAAAAAGTAAAGCCCTTGTGCAGGTGAAACTTGGCAAGCATTATCTCTGATAAACACGGAATGCAGACTCCAACAGTTGTTTGAAGAAAGAACTTTACTTTGTAAGGTATGATCTACTCTTTCCCAAAAATTGGGAAAATCCTATAGATGTATATAGGATTTGACAGACAAAGAGATAAGTAAATAATCGACGTGGAGACAACAATTTTATAATAGGAATAAAGATAACAAATTCTGCAGTCATCGCCACACTACAACGAAGTCATGAAAGTTTACCAGAATTAATTTTCTTGTCACATTCATCAGTGGAAAGTCGTGACTAAAGAGTAACCATCCTGAACAATGATTAAATATACATTCAATGATGTGTTACGAGAACAAAATACAGTGCCAAAATAGAATGAGGGAAGGTGAGACAACAGAAGCGAAGTGAGAGCTAAGTGCAACGGCGGGTGAGAAACTAATAATTATAACGCTAAAACTGTGTAGTGAGACAAACAATCATGCTGTGCACCTACGAAAACAATTTTAACGCAACTACATGTTTCTTCTGCTTACAAAGATCAGGCGTATGCAAACGAATACAAACAGCCTCAAGTACTTTCAACTGACTAGCATACCGTGTACGACAAAGAACAGAAAAACTAAAATCATCATACACCTGCAGACACTTAGGGTGTGACAACAAGTGAAGAAAAACGGCAGACTTCTTACGATCACAATCACCTTCTGATTCCTCGTCTCCAACAACCGCAACCTCGTCCTCCGTCTCATCTCCCAACTCGTCCCCAGTGTCGTCCTCCGTGTCATTCTCCTCATCAACACCGATCGGTCCCAGGCTCGCTTCATGTTGTTTAACCTCTGTTCGTTGACTCCTCCTTTGGTCTTGATGGTAAATTGTTACCATTGTTGTTGTTGTTGTTGTTGTTGTTGTTGTTGTTGTTGTTGTTGTTGTTGTTGTTGTTGTTGTTGTTGTTGTTGTTGTTGTTGTTGTTGTTGTTGTTGTTGTTGTTGTTGTTGTTGTTGTTGTTGTTGTTGTTGTTGTTGTTGTTGTTGTTGTTGTTGTTGTTGTTGTTGTTGTTGTTGTTGTTGTTGTTGTTGTTGTTGTTGTTGTTGTTGTTGTTGTTGTTGTTGTTGTTGTTGTTGTTGTTGTTGTTGTTGTTGTTGTTGTTGTTGTTGTTGTTGTTGTTGTTGTTGTTGTTGTTGTTGTTGTTGTTGTTGTTGTTGTTGTTGTTGTTGTTGTTGTTGTTGTTGTTGTTGTTGTTGTTGTTGTTGTTGTTGTTGTTGTTGTTGTTGTTGTTGTTGTTGTTGTTGTTGTTGTTGTTGTTGTTGTTGTTGTTGTTGTTGTTGTTGTTGTTGTTGTTGTTGTTGTTGTTGTTGTTGTTGTTGTTGTTGTTGTTGTTGTTGTTGTTGTTGTTGTTGTTGTTGTTGTTGTTGTTGTTGTTGTTGTTGTTGTTGTTGTTGTTGTTGTTGTTGTTGTTGTTGTTGTTGTTGTTGTTGTTGTTGTTGTTGTTGTTGTTGTTGTTGTTGTTGTTGTTGTTGTTGTTGTTGTTGTTGTTGTTGTTAAATCTTGTGTTCCCGGTGTCCTCGCCGGTGCTTGATCTCCAGTACTGTAATAATTCATTGAATAATTAGCCGTTGATCGTCTAGGTCTTTGAATGTTGATTGTGTTACTTTCTTTGTTGAATTCCGTTCCCTTCAGCCTTCTTTCTCGTTGTTCACGTTCAGTGCTTGCCTCATCCATATATGCACGTGCCACCGACACCACAGACTCAGCCCCAGCACCGCCGTTGATAGATGTAGGTGGCGGTTCTGGGGGAGGCAACGGCAAAGACGGCGATGAGAGCATTACCTCATCACAGCGTCCACTTTGGTCTTGAGCTGAATGTTGTTGTGGTGTGTTATCTTGTGTTGTTATGGTGCATGGTGTTGTGGTGACAATATGCCCATTACCCGACTCCAAGGCTCTCGATACGGGTAATGGAGGCACTATTGCCGATGACGGAAATTGTGCTACCGATGGCTGTGGCCGAGGGTTCTTCAGTGGCCTGCCGCGTTTTGGTCGCAGTGCCCGTGCCGAACCAGTCAGCATATGCAGTGGGACGTCCCACAGTGGGACGTCCCACTGCATATGCTGACTGGTTCGGCGCGACCAAAATATTTATTATATATCTGTGGTTTGGTGTTTGTTTGTGTGCTTGTGTCACGCCTGGAGCTACCGTATCTGTCCCGTTTCTGTGACTACAAAGGTTCTACAGGATTATACATAACAGCTGGCCACAAACAGCTGGCCACAATATTCGTCGTATTATGTATACGACTCCCTGATATAGAGGGAGATTTGGAAAGAAAATTAATAGGGAGACGAGGAGGAAATAAAATTAGAATGGACGCTAGTTGCGGAATAGGTGATAGGATGAATCAGCAAAAACAGACTTTAGAAGAGAGATACTTTGGAAGAGAGATCCCGTCGTCTCCAAAGTAAGCGTGAACGGGCGATTCAGCGCCGGTCACAGGAAACGTCGGAAGAGAGATCCTGTCGACTCCAGAACGCCCGTGATCGGCAGAGTCAGCGCCGATCCCAGGAAACGTCAGGACAGACGCAGAATCGACTCCAAAATAAGCGTGAACGGGCGATTCAGCGCCGGTCACAGGAAACGTCGGAAGAGAGATACCGTCGAGTCCAGAACGCCCGTGATCGGCAGAGTCAGCGCCGGTCACAGGAAACGTCAGGACAGACATCTCGTCGACTCCAAAATAAGCGTGAACGGGCGATTTAGCGCCGGTCAAAGGAAACGTCGGAAGAGAGATCCCGCCGAGGCCAGAACGCCCGTGATCGGCAGAGTCAGCGCCGGTCACAGAAAACGTCAGGACAGACATCAGGACATTTTTTGCCTAGCTCATCGTACATGTTACTAGAACTGATGGAAATGTTTTTTCCGTTAATTGGCTACATCATTGTATTGCAAAAACGTTTCAATCAGTTTGAATATGAGTTAGGCAAAAGTATTTGCAGATTTTTTTGCGGATTGTTATCTTTCTCTCACTTCATCCGCTTTTGGTTTGCTCCTTCTTTTCCTTTTTATCTCCTTATAATCGGATTTTCTGACCTTTTTACATTAAAAGCATAGCGTACGGCCCTGAGCTTCCAAGCTCTCTCGTCATTGTTCAGCATGGTTACTCTTTAGTCACGACTTTCCACTGATGAATGTAACAAGAAAATTAATTCTGGTAAACTTTCATGACTTCGTTGTAGTGTGGCGATGACTGCAGAATTTGCTCTCTTTATTCCTATTATAAAAGAGATAAGTCGTGAAAAAAGGGCATTGGCTATGAATGCAGGGCGATTTTGCTAATCACCTCGTACTAACGGGGTTTATGTACTAACCGGACTCGTATTAACGGGGGACGACCTGTAACTGGCACGAGACCGCAAAAGGACACCATGCGTGAAGAAGAGAAAGATGTTTATTTACGTGAAGAGAGAGCGACAAAGAAATCCACAGTGAGAATAAAACAAGAAACTTATTTTTCCGTAACCGTAACAACAAAAGTTGCAGTTATTGGGCGAAAGTGTTTAACAGAGTAGGAGCTGTGGGTGTTGGACAAGGTGATATCAGCTGAACCATATTGTAGGGGTGGTTATGCATGACAAGGTCACAATCACACCTGTATTACAAAAGGAGCTGAAAAACAGCGCCACGCACTGCAAAGGTATGCTATGGAGCAACACATCATCGACTCAATGCAGACGGTCATTGCACCGTTTCTGGGCAATTGCAAACGCAATGAGAGAAGTGCTTGAAAAAGAGCGGTTTAGAAGGGGTTTGTACGTGCAAGTGTGTGTGTGTGTGTATGTGTGTGTGTGTGTGTGTGTGTGTGTGTGTGTGTGTGTGTGTGTGTGTGTGTGTGTGTGTGTGTGTGTGTGTGTGTGTGTGTGTGTGTGTGTGTGTGTGTGTGTGTGTGTGTGTGTGTGTGTGTGTGTGTGTGTGTGTGTGTGTGTGTGTGTGTGTGTGTGTGTGTGTGTGTGTGTGTGTGTGTGTGTGTGTGTGTGTGTGTGTGCGTATGCATGTGTCTGAACGTCCGTGTGTGCGCAGGCGCATGCATGCACGTGCGTGCACTTGTGTGCATGCGTGAATACTCAGTCTGCAGTGTGTTTGTGTATGAGGATGGGTATATGCGTGTTGTACACAGATCATACAGTTGACCATACGCGACAATGTCAGATGGGAATGGGTATAGTAGTTCAGAAAGCATACTTGCGCATAACTTTGAAATTGTTCCTGTGAAACGATCTGAAATCTGTCGTCTTTCTAACGTTGGCAGTGTACACAGGATAGAGGTTGATTAGACGTGGTGCAATTGTGGACTTGAACAATAGTTCCAATTTAGCAAGGGCAAGGGAAGGGGTGAAAGTGCATTATGCTCTAGTGCTATCAATGGCCATGCTTTACTGCTTGATGCGTGTCTGGCCGTGGCTTTGAGACTCGACCTCGCTCGTTTTGCAGAGGGCCGCCGTCCCGAGCTTCTGTGCGGGTGCCGTGGCGGAGTTGAATCCGACGTAGATGCAATCATTGGTGACGGTGTCAGCGGCGGCACTGCTCTTGGCCATGTGCTGGGGTGCGGCTTGAGAGGATGCAGGCTGCTGCTCCACTCCCTGCTGCTGCTGTTGCCGCACAGTCACCGCCTTTCCACCGCTTGACTGAGGTTTGGACGCCAGGTGTGCATCTACTGAACTATAGATCCCCTCCTCTTCGGCGCGGTGATCGTCAGTGCTGCTGCTGCAGTCCGCGGCCATCGGCTCTGAAAGGACATTGTAGTCCGCGGCAGCGTCCGGTATAGTTTCGACGTAGGGAAATTCCGGCAGCAGGGTTGAAGTGGATCCCCTGGCGAAGGCCGTGTAAAAAGACTCCTTGGCGTTCTCGTTATTTACCATGGCAACGCCGGCATTGATATTCGACATTGGCGACATTACGTTATAGGTGTCGGCGGAATCCTCTTGACCATCGTTGACTGCGGCGCTTTTCTGGACCTTTTCATAGCCGCTGAGTGTCTTGTGTACGCCAAGGACTGCACCGTCGTCATTGGTGTCGGCGGAATCCTCTTGACCATTGTTGACTGCGGCGCTTTTCTGGACCTTTTCATAGCCGCTTAGTGTCTTGTGTACGCCAAGGACTGCACCGTCGCCATTGGAGTTTGCCAGAACCTGGTCGCCGGACTTTTGCGAGCCACATGTGGACGCGCAGTGAGAAATAGTGTGATAATCGTCCTCTCCCAACCTGCTTGTAGAATCGTAGTCATCGTCTTTCTGGCCGCGGCCGGTGACGCCAGCAAGTGCAGAGCTGGCCCTACCTGCCATGCCAGTGTTAAGGCGTTCTTGACGTTCTCCGTGTTCTTGTGCAACCACTCCGTAGTGATCGGAGGTCGAGGTCTGAACACCTGGTCTGGTGTGTTGGTCCGCATCGTTAGAGATCGCCGAGCCCAGGATCGCGTACAGTTCTTGGCCGCCATCTTGGGTGCTAGGTCCAGCTGCGGATCCTGGTCTGCGTCCTATGCCAGCGGTCTGGTCTCTCAGGACGTCCCAGGCACCACCGCCGGCGACGGTGCTGTCGATCGTGTTGTGCTGGTTGCTTGCCTGCGGGTCCTGGCTGGTTCGGGACGGGCGACGCGACCACAGCTTCTTGGCCATGTTGCTCAGGAGGGAGACGCGATGAGTGCCCGACAACACGGGCGCTCCAGTGGCCGCCTGCATGTTTATGTTGCCCGACGCGTTCACGTAGCTAATGTGACCTGGGAAAGCCGGCTCGTCATCGTCGCCGCACTTCGAGGCCAAGTTCTGCCACGCCATGCCGCAGACGGATTCGTCCGGATGCAATTCATACTCCTCCTCGGTCGCATTGCTGGAGGTATAGGCGGCTTCGCTCGCTGCCGCCCGAGCGGTGCTGCGGCGGAAAGAATGCGGGCTGAGGACGTACTGGTTGGAGATGATTAAGCTTGCCGGACCGGACTTCTCCCGGGGTGAACAACAGTATGTCCGATTGTATGTATCTTCACATGTCATTTGATTGCTGGGATCCGCATACTGGTCATCGTGGACAAGCCGGTCGTTATCGAGCATGTCACTGAGTTCGTTTAGATTGTTATCCAGGCAGCTTGTAGACGACTGGGTACTCATATCCACCGAGGCGGCCCGTCCGGGCACTTTGACTGCCAGACTGTCCGGACAAGACTTAGTACCGCTGTCCAACACGCCTCCATTAGCAGACTGGCAGCTCTCTCTCAACACGTTGTTTGCCGCGTACTGCGTGTCGTAGATGCAGACGTGGTCGAAATTGTCCCCTTGGCAACTAGCAATGTATCCGGCCGAACCGACTTCGCAATTACTCATTTCTTCAGCAGCCAGCCGTGAATTGGAGCGTTGCTTTCCGAGTGGATCTCGTGCGCCCATTGTAGAGTATATGGCACTGCTCTTGCTCGCACTGGTACATACATACCGGCTAGTGTCTGCATTTCCGTCGAACCTGGACTGCAGTGTGGGGCATGGTCGTCGTTTTAGATAATCGGCAGCCGAGTCATGTGTGGGCGAGGCCTCATCGCCGACTGGTATGGTGTTGAGACTGCAGGTGCTGCCGTTTTGGCCGGCCGAAGAAGATCCAAGGAATGCGATGCTCGCACTGCCGTCTGCTTCCATGAGCGGATGCGAAGAAGAGTCGACGCTGATCATGCGATCTTTCTTGTACGTGACAGCGTACGTCCGATCAGCAGGGGGACGTTGATTCCCGGCGTCGGGTGCATTCCCAGTGCTTGGCTGGCTATACTGGTCCTCGGTGTTCGAGTCTCTGTGGACGCCAGTGTACAGGAGAGATGCATCCTTGCTGCGCACCGTTGACAGCGGTAGGCCGCTGGATTTCACGCTGAACAATCTGCGCAAACAAGAAACACAGTGCACGTAGATGTAGATTGTGCAAAGCGCACAAATATAACGTGGTGTGTTCTCCGTACTAGAAGAAGCACTGGAGAAGAAGCCGCACTCGAATTTGTGTTTGTAACCAAATTCGGACATTGGTGAAGCATTACCATGAGTACTACATAGAATGCCATATGCCACGATCTGACATCTGTCAGGCATTCTAAACGTGTTGCCACTTGCCCAATCCAGTGCATGGACCCACATCGGAACACATCGAGACAATGATTTGGTCTAGACTGTGGCTTGCTTTTCGTGTGAAGCAATGATTTCACCACGCACTCTGAGGAAGACCTTATGATTTGGCCATCTTGTGACATGTCGGGGATGTTTTGTAAATGAATACATAAATAAACACTGGTCTGATGTGTTTTGAGTTCCTCGGCAGCAAGCACGTCACCCTAGAGTCCGCTTACCGTCGTGGTGCTAATACAGCGTGGTTGCGGCGGGCTACCAGAAGAATGGCGACAGCGAGACCGATGAGAATGCAGCCGGCGAAACCGGCGATCAGCCACAGGTAGGGGCTGGTGGTGCTAGAGCTAGACGGCACTGTGGAGACCATGCACGCACACGACCCAAACAATCGCAATTTCACAAACGCACAAACACACACGCACACACGTACACACGTACACACATACATGCATAAACATGAATATACGCATACGCACACAAACACACACAAGTAAACACACAAGCAAACACACACATGCCCATACACACACACACACACACACACACACGCACACAGGACGAAACTCACCAATACGGGTGAAACCAACAAACTGTCCATAAGCCACCAGAGTGCGCAACTTCACTGATCAGATCTGGGACGGTGTTGCACCGAATAGCGTGTCATCATGAGTAGGGAAAGTGTATGTGGGTCTCGGTCTCGTCGACAGAATGACGCAAGTCCAACCCCAAAATGATGTACATTAAACCAAGAGTCCATAACGTCCAGAGTGTGCAACGCGCGATAGGATCTCGTTTTCAACATTACGTCATTTTCATGTACATTTCCATGTAGCGAATGTCGCGGCCTGCACCCGCAGCTTCATGAAAATGACGTAATGTTGAAAACGAGTCGTGACAGACATTCATGTGGCATTGCACACTCTGGGGCTTATGGACTCTTGGTAAAACCGGTCAAGGTGACCACTCAGATAAGGCGACCACATGTCCTTGAAGACCACTGAAACCAGCACCAAGGGATGCTATTTCCAGTCAAATGACACTGGATGAGGAGACCACCTGGTAACAGAGACCTCGTTTTGAAGGTCCCTTGAGCGGCCGTTTTAGACAGGTTCCACTGGAGTACACCGTCCCACAACCCCATCCCAGTTGCGCACTCTGGGGCGATTATGGACTCTTGGCGAGACCATATCAAGCGATCGATCACCTTTTACCTAATCCCCCGGCAGATCAGTCAATGTCAGTCAATGTCAGTCAATGTCAGTCAATGTCAGTCAATGTCAGTCAATGTCAGTCAATGTCAGTCAATGTCAGTCAATGTCAGTCAATGTCAGTCAATGTCAGTCAATGTCAGTCAATGTCAGTCAATGTCAGTCAATGTCAGTCAATGTCAGTCAATGTCAGTCAATGTCAGTCAATGTCAGTCAATGTCAGTCAATGTCAGTCAATGTCAGTCAATGTCAGTCAATGTCAGTCAATGTCAGTCAATGTCCACCTCAAATAGCTGGCAAGTACATCAAGTGAAAATGTATGGCGACGGCTAAGCAGCAGGTGTAGTGGATGGCTTATGAAAACAATTGTGCTCGGTGAAATCCGGTCCGAAGTGAGCATTCAGCGTACCGACGCCCTGTGAAGTGGTACAGTCAGACCTCGCATAACCGCACACATCCGTTTTCCAGAAGAATATCCGGATAGGCGAGGGAACCGGATAATCAAATACACATACTGTGTGTATGCATGGCATATGCTGTAAATCGGGAACCAGCGACGTTCTTCCGGATGGCGAGGGATCCGGATAAAAGAGGACCGGATAAGCGAGGTCTGACTGTACATGTATGAATACTGCGGGACGTACACATTTACAAGTAGAGTGGTTTAGTTGTAACTGACCCAGACCACCAGTTTAGCACTTCAGGTCGCACTTCAGCCGGTCCCTTTGACAAAATGTGGACGAGAATGCTAAAGTCTTATGATAATACTTGGTCCGCGTCAGCAATATTGTCGCTTATCTTTCGACAATTTGAACTTAGACTTTGGACATCAATGCGTGCACTTGAAGTGATAAAACTTGGTACGATGGAAGGTAAGGTATAGAATGACAACTAGCTATGAGAAATTTATTGTCCGAGGAAGGGTTCATACTTTTTTCGGTCCTCCTCGTCCTCGCTGCTCTCGGCGCTGGTGACAAATATTTTTCTCGGGATCGACTCCTGCGCTATGCCTTGTTATTTTGAACATTTGTACCGAAATTAAAACCTGCGGAAAATCGATGTTTCTCGTACCAAATTTGTACTTGAAAAATCTTTCTGCATCCGATGACGCAAATCTCCCTTCAAAACATGGTTCGTATGAAAGCCAGTCCACACGGATTCATCGTGCCAAAAAATCGTATGGAGCATGCCTCGAAAAATTTTTTTGGTGGACACACACATACAAACAAACGCACGTGCGTGACACCCACACCCACACACAGACACACGCACGCACACACACAAACAAAGTGAGTGTGTTCGATTACGCACTTGAATCGATTCATGAATGGAATCTCGCCGTTCGATTTCATGTTATGATCCCTGGAATCGATTCGGAATCCATTCACCCTATTCACATGGGATGACGTGAATAGCGCGATTCGAATCATGAATGGAATCATGAATCGATTCGCGTGCACAATCGAACACACTCACTATACACCATTGCTAACCTGTACAGGTAGTCCCATCAGCAGTGTATCCAGGATTGCAGGTGCACACAAAACTTCCCAAAGTGTTGTTGCATTGTGACGATGTACTACTGCACATGGTGTTACACTCATCGATATCTATAAGAGGAATAGATTAACACACATGCTGTTACACTCATCGATATCTATAAGAGGAATAGATTAACACACATGCTGTTACACTCATCGATATCTATAAGAGGAATAGATTAACACACATGGTGTTACACTCATTGATATCTATAAGAGGAATAGATTAACACACATGGGTCAATCAACCAGCTACAAGTATAAAATTAACTTCCTCAACTATTTTTCCCACTCGGAACAGGTAGAAGAAATTCAGACTAAACTGTTTCAATGTATGTGAAGAATTGTGGCCTCAAATTCTTTACCTTGAATTGGACGTAACTTTAGTTTCCCTGGGACAATTGTTATCATCTTGGTCATCCTGGAAAGCCCCTAACGAGAACACGATGAGCTCAAACTCGAGTACCACGAGATGTGCTTGACCAGCGCTGCAAGCCAGCAAAGGCGTTTAAGCGCAAGGCTCTCGCTCTAGATCGTTCTCCATCTGCTATCACACTTTCCTCGATCGTATGAAGCTGAGTTTTTGAAGGCACTCGCGGGAAACTCTGTTCAAATTTGAACGAGTGTATCATTGCCAACAGCCGACGGGTTCAGGGAAAACCCTGGCCGTTTAGTCACGCATTGCGGGCCTGAGCGCCAATTGACAGTGACGAACGTTACGTGTGTCGTAACTCACTCACCTTTCATCCTATCGGTTCGGTTATTGTTCGAGACGACAGCTGGGTGTTTTTTCTTCTTCCTATATATTTTTCTCCCCAAACAACTGAGAATTGACCAAGTTAAGGTAGTTTGAAATTATTACCTCGAAGTAGAAAAATGTAGAATTTATCGTTTGGTCCAAAGACTCTCAATATCGGGGATATTTGGAAAAAGTCAAAATTGGAGTAAAATACACATTGAACGAGGGATCACTGCTTCTCAGAACAGACCAGCGGAACCAAACTGCTAACCAGTGCACTAACCAGTGTACTAACCAGTGTACTAACCAGTGTACTAACCAGTGTACTAACCAGTGTACTAACCAGTGTACTAACCAGTGTACTAACCAGTGTACTAACCAGTGTACTAACCAGTGTACTAACCAGTGTACTAACCAGTGTACTAACCAGTGCACTAACCAGTGTACTAACCAGTGTACTAACCAGTGTACTAACCAGTGTACTAACCAGTGTACTAACCAGTGTACTAACCAGTGTACTAACCAGTGTACTAACCAGTGTACTAACCAGTGTACTAACCAGTGTACTAACCAGTGTACTAACCAGTGTACTAACCAGTGTACTAACCAGTGTACTAACCAGTGCACTAACCAGTGTACTAACCAGTGTACTAACCAGTGCACTAACCAGTGTACTAACCAGTGTACTAACCAGTGTACTAACCAGTGCACTAACCAGTGTACTAACCAGTGTACTAACCAGTGTACTAACCAGTGTACTAACCAGTGTACTAACCAGTGTACTAACCAGTGTACTAACCAGTGTACTAACCAGTGCACTAACCAGTGTACTAACCAGTGTACTAACCAGTGTACTAACCAGTGTACTAACCAGTGTACTAACCAGTGTACTAACCAGTGTACTAACCAGTGTACTAACCAGTGTACTAACCAGTGTACTAACCAGTGTACTAACCAGTGTACTAACCAGTGTACTAACCAGTGCACTAACCAGTGAACTAACCAGTGTACTAACCAGTGTACTAACCAGTGTACTAACCAGTGTACTAACCAGTGTACTAACCAGTGTACTAACCAGTGTACTAACCAGTGTACTAACCAGTGTACTAACCAGTGCACTAACCAGTGCACTAACCAGTGTACTAACCAGTGTACTAACCAGTGTACTAACCAGTGTACTAACCAGTGTACTAACCAGTGTACTAACCAGTGTACTAACCAGTGTACTAACCAGTGTACTAACCAGTGTACTAACCAGTGTACTAACCAGTGTACTAACCAGTGTACTGACCAGTGTACTAACCAGTGTACTGACCAGTGTACTAACCAGTGTACTAACCAGTGTACTAACCAGTGTACTAACCAGTGTACTGACCAGTGTACTAACCAGTGTACTAACCAGTGTACTAACCAGTGTACTAACCAGTGTACTAACCAGTGTACTAACCAGTGTACTAACCAGTGTACTAACCAGTGCACTAACCAGTGTACTAACCAGTGTACTAACCAGTGTACTAACCAATGTACTAACCAGTGCAAGAAGGTGCATCTCCATCAAATCCCGTTTGGCATTCACATTTGTAACTCCCAACTGTGTTGGTGCAACTGGTCCCATTGCCTTTGCACATAGTCAAGCATTCATCGACATCTGCAAAAGGGAAAACATGGAGTATTTTAGGAATCCAAGAAAGAAGGTAAGAAGCTACTCATGCATGATATGTAATAATGTCTCTAAGGCGGTCAGAACGTTACATCTCTTAGTTCTCACGCACTTGTTTTCTGCTCATTGTCGTTAGAAATCACATGTAAGACGCTCCGTTTCCAGCGCAACAAATACCTAGTGAACACCAGATAGCAGCGTGGGTCAGTGTCACCCATGGAGGTGCTGAACAAGAGCTGAGGACCGCTGGCCATTCACACCATTGTTTCCTGGAAATCATCTAATTCGCAAAGCCTGCGCTGGGCTCTGTAAGTTTTTCTCTCTGGTGATGTTTGTACTTGGGGAGCACTGTATAAGTGGTGCTCCTCAGGCACAATCTTCCTCAGTCTACTCAACTAATGATGGGTGAATTCCCCGAAACACTGAGTTTTGAGCAGGGAGTGATGCTTTCTTGCAAGCTTGCTGAGTGGATGGTACGATGGACTCCTGGTGTGCTCTGGATGGTAGTCGTGAGTCAGTCAAGTGAGAATTCAAGTTGGCAGGAAAACCGCTAGCTCCCATGTAGGGAGCAACACACAATTCCCCAAGTATCGCCGAAGTCGCACCAACCTCTTCTTCACAATGCTGTCCCCAGCGTGGGCTTCCGAATTAGATGGTTTGGAGGCAACAGCGTTGTGAATGGCCAACAGTCCTCAGCGCCTGTTCAGCACCTCTATGAGCAACACTGACCCACGCTGCTATTATTCTGGTGTTCACGAGGTGTTTGTCGCGCTGGAAACGGACATCTCTGTAAACTTGTATCCCTGGTGATGTTTGTTCATGGAGAGCACTATTATAAGTGGTACTCCTCAGGCACAATCCTCTCCAGCCTACTCAAGCTGAACAGATGAAGGGTGAGTTCCATGAAACTGTGTATTGAGCAGGGAGTGGTGCTTTCTTGCAGGTTTGCCGAGTGGACGGTTCGATGGACTTCTCGTGTGCTCTGGATGGTAGTTGTGAGTCTGTCAAGTGAGAATTCAAGCTGGTAGGTAAACCGCGCAGTCCCGTGTAGAGAGCAACACACCGTTGCTCATGTGGGCCTCAACCAACGAAAACAGCCCTTAGGGTCAAATTTTTCAAAATTCCTTTTTGGTTAGAAATTTGTTGAAACACATCTACTGAAGGACCTCAGCCAAGAAAAAGTTCAATATTCCGATTCAAAACGGGTGTATACACCAATATACAAGATGTACTCCAAATTGGTGCAATGTATGTATACGATATATGTGTACAATAAATATTCAGCATTTTTAGGTGGGTAGGCAGCTTGAATACCTTTGAAATAGCGCAGTAAGCAGCTAGAATGACAAAGAATAGCGGACGAGTGCGGAGACATGATCGACTTATTTGCAGCTGCATCCTGCGTGGAGTCGTTCCGCAATGTCTTCCATTTCTTCCTGCGCAGCTGACGACACGACGTCGCTGCCGTCACTAGCCCCAGACTCAGAATTTATCTCCGGTGATGACTTCTCATCTTCCGACTCTGACGAGTCATCGACCACCTTGAGCCGCAACGCAGCAGGAGATGACGGCTGCGATTCCGCCTCGCTGTCGACATCGATGTCGATGTCGGAACCAAAGAACGTCTCATCCTCACTCTGAACTTCAGCGGCTACTTCAGCATCCACTCCCCACCAGGCTCGAGCTAGCTGTACACAATGACTGCCGCGTGTGCTCTGCGAACAGCTCTGGCGTCCGCAGCCATCGCAACAAGATCAAGGAACACTCGAGTCGCCACTCGACACCACTTCAACTAACTTCAAATAAATTCAAGCAAGGAAATCAAGAAGAACTCGTCGCGCTGTTCGCAGCGCGATCAAAAATCGTTGAACGTCACAAATCGACATTTTTCTTGAAAAAATTACGAAACCTCTAAGGGTCGTTTTCGCTGATTGCGGCTCATGTATCGCCGAAGTTGCACCACACTCTTCTCCTTTTCTTTACAATAATAATTATCGCCTTGTCGGTCAAGTCTTAAATATGAATTCTCAAAATTGAATTCAGATAATCGTGGATAGTTGTTGTGCAGGAGCACCTTCGCAGAACGATCATGAAGTGAGGTGGAGATTGAGAAAGGATATCACAATGGTAAAGGAACCATGTAAATATGAAGATGGAGAGAGATGGTAGTTCCAAAGGTTAGAGAACTGAGAGAGACAATGTTTAAGGTTCAGCAAAGGGGATCATAGAAGGGTATGCACTATGGGGGGGGGGGGGGGGAGCAGTCTGTATAGTCAGCAGGTATGCTGACCAGGATCAAGAGATCATAACTTGTCTGTGGACCACTCAAACGTCCTGCCCCGCAAATGGTCGTTGACATTTTTTCTTGTAGCTCTGCATACTTTGAATTATTATTATTATTATTATTCCTGGTGGTGACAGTCAATTTTTTCTTCAGACTTTTCCCGTTTGTCTCTTTTCCTCAAACTAGTGAAAATAATAATAATAATAATATTAACTGGTTTGAGGGGAAGAGACAAACGGGAAAAGTCTGAAGAAAAAATTGACTGTCACCACCAGGAATAATAATAATAATAATTCAAAGTATCAGTCGGGGAAGTGAACTGCCTGAAAAGAGAAAAAAACGCCAGACCCACCAGGACTCGAACCTGGGACCCTGCTTGTCATGTGCAATGCTCTAACCACTGAGCTATGGGACCAGGCTGAACCTAGAAGGCGCTGACAAGTTTTTCACTCCAAAGGCAGCTCACAACACGTGCCACACATACCGATGGCACTTGGGTCTTTTTCCCTCCCCCAGGGGACCAACCACGGTCAGTTTCTGGAAACTGCCAGAGGTGAAAGAAAGTGCCATCAGTATGCCATCAGTACGTGCCATCAGTATGTGTGGCACGTGTTGTGAGCTGCCTTTGGAGTGAAAAACTTGTCAGAGCCTTCTAGGTTCAGCCTGGTCCCATAGCTCAGTGGTTAGAGCATTGCTCATGACAAGCAGGGTCCCAGGTTCGAGTCCTGGTGGGTCTGGCGTTTTTTTCTCTTTTCAGGCAGTTCACTTCCCCGACTGATACTTTGAATTTGAAGTTCTCCCAATCCTTTCCAAATAATAATAATAATAATAATAATAATGAGATAAAAACCCACAGATACGGAACATGTTTGATGCGAATCTGGTCATCTGGTTTCTGGTCATCTGGTCATCTGGTCTCCTTGTGAGAAGGCCCCATTGCCTGTACTTTCAAACATGGTGCCGATCCACAAACGGTCCTCGCGCTCTGTTCTGAAAACTACCGCCCAGTCTCGCTATTATAAATAAAGTCTAAAGTAATTTATAGTAAAGAAAAAAGGACCAAGAAACTGAAAGTTAGGCTATAATTTCCAGTACCACCAGTGCTGTCAGTACCATCGGTCAGTCTCGTGAAATGTTATTGCATGAGCTGATTGTAAAGCAACTGGTGGTGTTAGTGCACATTATAGCCTGACTTGCAGTTTCTTGGTCCTTTTTTCTTTACTATAAATTTATCCTTGGCTTTCTATCCGAGTCTAAAGTAATGGAAACTATTGTCAATCGCCAACTGATGAACCATCTCGAGCGCCAGCAGCTCCTCACTCCCCACCATTTTGAGATCTGTACGGGTCTCGGTACGGCAGACGCACTGCAGGCGCTTCTTAACGTCTGGCTGGACATTGTTGGCAAAGGCGGCGCGGCACGAATTCTCGCAGCTGATATAGCCGGGGCCTTTGACCGGGTCTCCCACGTGGCCTTCTCTGCAAGGTCAGGCAGCTCGGCATTACTGGCACTCTCCATAGCTGGCTATCGTCATATCTTGATGGCATACGGCCCCAGGGCAGTATCGTGGGCACTACGCTGTTTAATATACGTGTATGACGCTATCGATGTTCTTGTTGGCAATGCTAAGCGTGGGGCCTACGCGGACGATACGACAATATACATTTTAGTATCCTCAGCACAGTGCCCTCGGGTCGCTGCACAGGCCTTGCAGATATCTACAAACCGCCTGCACTAGTCGGGTTGCCGGTGGAAAGTGTCGTTCGAGCCCACCAAGTCACAGACTAGGACTGCTACCCTCCGACGCACTGACCTAGACCTACCCCCAATCCTGTTTGGTGGTACCCCTGTACCGGAGGAAACCAGCATATCACTGCGTTGAGTTCGATTTGACTCCAAATTGTCCTTCCTTAGTCACCTCGGGGCCGTGACCATCCGCACCCAGCAGCGCCTCGGCTTTCTCCGACGAGCGGCTCACATTCTAACGCCAGGTGGCCGAAGGACTGTCTACTAGGCATTCGTGAGGCTCCTGATGGAGTATGCCCAACTTGTGTGATGGGCGGGCCAGCCAGCCACATCCAACGTCTGGATAATGTTCAACGCCCTGTGATGCGGATCATTGGCAGTGGTGCAATTCTCCCCAGTCTGGCTGTCCGCCGGACTTTTGCTGCACTCTCGTGCAGGTACAAATTGCATTTCATCACTGGTCCTCCTCAGCTACTTGCTGTTTTGCCACCGCATCGCGTTTCTCCAGCTAACCCCAGAACCAGGAACAAGCACAATATTGCCACTAGCCACGCCTATCAACTGTGAGACACGCTCCCTGTCTCAGCTCCATCCGTTGTGAAGCGGTCATTCCCGTACTGCTGTATTGGCCGATGGAACTCCCTTCCTGGCAGGCTTCTGTCGCAATGCCCACACAAAATACGGTTTCAATCATTTAACACAAAGGTCTACTGACACCTGAGAGCCTCTGCTCGAACGGATGTACCTGAACAGAGTTCGCGAGTGCTACGCCCAGAAGCAGCTCGACCTGGTGTGGCGCTGTGTCAATGGGAAAGCTAGCACTGTCTCTCTCTCTCTCTCTCTCTCTCTCTCTCTCTCTCTCTCTCTCGCTCTCTCTCTCCCTCTCTCTCTTTCTTTCTCTGTCTCTCTCTGGCTCTCTGTGTCTCTCTGTGTCTCTCTCTGTGTCTCTCTGTGTGTCTCTCTCTGTCTGTTACATGTTCAGCGTCCATCCGACTTCAAGTTCTTCACAACACAGTATCCGTCAACAGGTTAGTTCCACTTATTCCTTCGACAAAGAAAGCTCAGGAAAGCGCTCAAACGATCGTGACATTCCGTGCAAAGTGTACAGAATTTTCGCTTTTCTCCATCGACACGAAACGACATTGCTGGCGGGTCCAGTTCTTTTTCCCACTGCTGGACAGTGATCAGATTCACTGACATGTTGGCTACATGACACTAAGAACCATCTACTTCAACTGTGTCTTGTCGAACACAAGCAAACTGAATTGAGCTTGACAGTGAAAGAAGAAAGGAGAACTTAAATTAATGGAAAGTTGTCACTGTGTACAAAACTTCAAAAGAGTGCAGTGTCCAAAATCATCCAGAGCGCTATCCGCGACCCGCGTGCGGACTGACCAGGACAGGCCAGTTGGTTGGAGTAGTAAAATACTACTCCCTAGTCAGTAGTGTGCACAACAGTAGCATGTAAACTGCACACAATCAGTACAGAATGGTTTTGTACATACCGGTATGCATGGCCAGTGCAACGCACTTTTGGGCGATAAAAAACGAAAACCGAATTGTAACCAGTGAATTTTGATCCGCAAACTGCGATGCAAACCCGGATAAATCCTGGATAAATCGATCCCTGCCAGGATATACTGAAATCGGAATGAAGCTATAAATAAATAGTTTGTTCATTCATTACTCGACAACACAAGGCAAGGTTAGTTTTAAGATTCCAGTCACGCTTTCTTGTGACGATCATCAGTTGGAAATCCATCACAATCCGGTATTGAAGAAGTTCCAAACTGATCCTAAAGAGTGATTGGGATTCCAAAATTATTGTGCATGGGGATTTATCTAGGATTGAAGGAGTTCCCAGTCCTGCTGCTTTATACAAGCAGAACAAGCCCACTTTGTGCTAATCAGAAATATAATCAGATCTGCAGTCACACAATCAATATATTGCTGCCTGATATAACCAGAACAATCCCTCTTTGTGCTCACCAGAAATATCAGATCCCTCTGTATTGGTCATTGGAGAAGTTGGTTGGAACTGCCCTGGACTTTGAGATGTTTGACCTTTTCCTTGCGCTGGCACTGGTGGAGTTGGTATGGTTATACCCGGAAGATCTGATTTGCACACGAAAGAAAATTAAAAAAATCACTGCATTACCCATGATACCTCAAGGTGGTCTGTCAAGATGTTGTCAGTCTAATCACTAGATATCAGTAACTAACTTACTATAGAAAACTATCAGGCAGCTTTAGCACATCACATCCAAGTACGTGATTCAAGAGTGATATAATTGAAACATATATTTTCAAAATTCCATTGACGTTAGCAGAACGCATGTGCTTCTGCTATATAATTGTACAAGTCCCTTTTTTTAGCCTCACCTGAAAAGTGAGATGCACTTTCAATGCTCACTGTAGGTATTCCTTGACCTTTTCTTTGGTCTGATACTTGCTTTGCTGGTAGGGTTCCCAAGGGGGGGGGGGGGTTATATGGGTCACAACCAGCTAAAAGAGAATGAAAATTTTCTATATTTTTTATTCCACTAAACAGGTTTTGAAACCTTACTTGACCTATTGAATGCAGTACAGGGCAGCCAGGTAGTTTAAATATGCCCCAAGCACCGCTTTGAAATTCATACACTTTGAAAGAGTGAAGGACAGTTTCCGAGCAGTCGAACACAGTGACAAACATGTGGCTTTTGCGGAGGAGCACAATACAAAGGAGAAATTCTGATAATGACACAGAATTGAGCATATTATGGTAAAAAAGAGACAGACAAAATGCTACGAGTTATGGCTGTATATGATCTGGATAGAGTTGGTGGACAGTTAGTTATAACTCGGGACATTTTGTCCTTCTGCTTTTTACCATAATGAAATTGGCTCGCCGTCTGAGTTCAATCCAGCATATCAATGGCATTAGTTCCAAGTCACGGGCAAAGGTTTTCTTGGAAAGCACCAGGATGCTCTGGGCAGCATTGCCCTTTCATACTCTTCCGCTATCGGTTCATGAATAAAGCACAGCGTGAACGTGCTTGGCAAAAACAGTTTTCCATTTCGTCTTTTCTCTTTTTCTTTTTTTTTTACCAAAACCCAAAGACATGTTTTAGCTGAACGCGGCCCATATATATTTCAAATAGCACTTTCTCCCTGCAGCTAGGTGAAATATCATCTCTTGTCGACCTGTGTCACGTGATTCCAGGACAATATCACCCACAGATAACTAACGCTTTCTCACACACTGTATATCTCGCTACATATCACATGGTAATTTTTATGCTGGGCATGCCACACTCATGGTATGTAGCAGAACTCTCAGGGCGGGGTCGGAATATCAATTTTCATTGGATGATGGATTCAGTTCGTGAAACTCAGAGTTACGAAACCGCAAATGCTCGTTCTTCTGGCTGTGCACTTCAAACAGCCTCAACCCAAGTACTAAATGTGTCATTGTTCAGGATAAAAGAAGTGATAGCGTAATACTTACAGTCAAGGAACATTTGATGCCAATGTCCAAACTGATATTGGCAGCAATAAGTCGAACTTTTTCATCCGTGATATTATACTGCAATCGAAATGAAGCTATAAATAAATTTGGGCATTCATTACATATGTACTTTTTTTCAATCCTATTTTATTTTTAAGACAACCTGGGATTCGAACCCGCACTATCGCCCTGAATGCATTCCCCCGATACACTTCGCATACACACTCATTCTTCCAAGTTGCTTTACGTTATGATCTTGCATTTGAAAGCCCCATTTGAATATTCTGGCCAGCTGTCTTTGATGGTACAGTACGGTACAGTACGGTACGGTATGGGGTAGCGCCAGGTATGCCGATGGCACAAACAAACAAACACGGAATTAAAGCTGTGGGTACCCTGGCTAGCGCCAGACGTTACTGACGTAACGTCTTTTGCATAGCTACGGGAATTAAAGATGTGTGGACCCTGGCTAGCGCCAGACGTTGATGAAGTAACTGAAGTAATGTCTTTTGCATAGCTACGGGAATAATAATAATTTAAAATAAGAAGGAATGTAAGCAGAATAAGGCTGTTTCCACTTACTCTCACAAGTAGGAGTCGCACTTAGAACTCCATTCGCCTCACAAATCGGGATTGCAGATTTTACAAAACCATCATTGCAGGAGTAGTTTAGTACTTCACTGTACTTTGTAAATGTTTTCATACTGTATCCATTAACAATACTGGGCACGTTACACATGATAGCTGCAAATTTACATACGGTTACAGGAATTCCAAAAAGAAAACGATTAAGAATCAATATCTGTAACGGTCAAATATCTCCTTTTAACCAAAAGCGGACCTCATTCACCCACTATGATAATTTGGTCCAGGCACCCCATGTTCTTTAGATATTGCCCAAAATCAAAATAATCGATAAAAACACGAACTGAAACACATCCAAACAAGGTATAAGAACAGGGGATTACTTGTGCTCGCAACAACACAGTGCAGCCAAACCAACTATGTTCGTACACTGATCCAAGTTATGTAGTAATGTTTATCCTTCCCACTTTTGACACGCGACTGCCTGAGTCCCTCGAACGAATCCATCAATTCAGCCTGTCCTATGGCTGTCCTATAAAAGTGAGAAATTTCAAATGGGCCCTTGGACTAATAGTCAATACGGGAAATGCCCGGCTTTCGAACGAGACGATAGCTATGCTCAGGTGGGGGGGGGGGGGGGGGGAGGGGGGTTTTAGTCTGCTAACTAATGTAGCACTTTAACTAGGTGGTGATCAGTAACATCTTCAAGGGGTGACACTGATCCGGTGTTCACTGTGAGGCCCTCCTCTACAAGAACCGGGTCCAGACACGTGACGGACGGCGTTCGTGTGGCTACGTTGTCCCTTGTACTCGTGGGGGACGGTTTGCCTTTTTCGAGCTCCAGTTTTCTCTGGCCAAAACCTTTCAGTAAACTCTCTCCGGGCCGCCTCAAGGCCAGCAAAGCGCTTTCGATGAGGGGACCGACACAGCTAAAGAACGGGATGGCGTTTGATGCCGTCACCTTTGACTGCGCCCTTCATCGCCACTCGCGGAGGTTTGACAAGCCCCCGAGTGGATTCCATCACGCACCATGAAATTTCTTGAAAAGAGGAGAGATAGAAGGAGACGCCATCTGTTGCGAATTGGATGCTGGAATGTCATGTCCCTGGTGGAGCGAGACGGAGCCATTGAGACGGCAAGCGTTTCTGGCCGAGTAGTTGAAAACAAAAAAATAAATCGCGTTGTGGCGGAACTACGGAGGTTTGATATCGCTGCAGCAGGCCTGCAGGAGACTCACTGTTTGGACAGGAGAGCTATGTCGTGGACGGTTTCACTATCCTCAGCTCTGGCCGTCCATCTCCTGGCGCAGACGACTCTCGCCGCCGAGGAGAAGGAGTCGCAGTTGTTTTGGATTGTTGCGCTGCGAGCGCGTGGAGAGCTGGTGGCTGCGTCTGGAAGGCGGTGAGTTCTCGTGTTGTATCTGCCCGCCTACAGTTCGCCCTCGTTGACGGGTCAGCTAAGAGTTTCACTCTGGTTTGTGCCTACGCCCCGACTTACGTAGCTAGTCGCACTGTGAAAGAAAAATTCTTTGACGATGTCCAAAGTGTCTTGTACGACTTTCCACCATCTGACTGTTGTATCGTACTTGGCGATTTCAACACACACGTTGGTTCAGGCCAAAGGGGCGATGAGTGGTCCGATGTGCGAGGCACTCACGGGTATAACACCATAAATGCATCAGGAGCTGAGCTACTGTCGTTTGCTGCTTTCAATCAACTGTGTATATGCAACATCTGGTTCCCTAAACGGAACATTTTCAAACAGACCTGGCAGCACCCTGGCACGCTGCAGTGGCACTGCATAGATTTCATACTTGTGCGGCAAGACGACCACCATCTATGCACCGACGTGGCCGTTATCTGGAGTGCTGAATCCGGCAGCGACCACCGACTGCTATAATTATATGGCTCTGCAGCTTCCATCGCCGGTGCGGCGCGGGGGCGCAGAGCAAGGATAGTGTCCGGCGCTGGTTTGACGTTGCACAGCTAAAGGACCGTTGCACGTACTACACCAGCTGGTGAATACATGGAAGAACTCTCTGCGTTCCACGGGCTCCACCAGCACGTTACTCAACCGACAAGTGGTGAGAACACCCTGGATCTCATACTCAGCGACTTCTCGAAGACCTCAGTGGTGGTAAATATACTGGATCCCATTGGAGCATCAGATCATGCCACCGTTGTGGCCACTTTTGATGCCACCCCACTTCGCGAACCGACGACTAAACGGCGCATTTGGAGGTATGCTCAGGCAGACTGGGGCCGGCTTCGGCACTTCTACTCAACAGCAAACTGGGATATATCAGAAGACCCCGAGGCGTCCTGCAGATCAGTAACCGCTGTTCTCATGGAAGGCATGAATCGCTTCATCCCACACAAAGAACTTTCGACGAAACCAACAGATCCATCCTCGTGGACGCCGGAATGCTCAGCCGCTACTCAGGCAAAGAAGAATCATGGCATGGAACCGTCTCAGGAGACACCCCACCTGCCACCAGCAACTCATTGAGTACAATGCCAAAGTCCAAGCCTCTGCCAATTGCCTCCGTCTCGCAAAGCAGAATCTGCCCGCATCCGAGATCGGCTCAAACATGGATCACTGCGAAACCAGCAAGAATGGTCACTCCTGAAGCAAGCTGAAGGCTCTGGCCGCAGCTCGTCTATCCCTGTCCTACACAATACCCAGGGCAGAGAATATGTCACCAACCAGGAAAAGGCTACTTGCTTTGGAGAATTCTTTGCGAGCAAATGCAGTCTGGGTGATCAAGATCTACAGTGTCGATAGTAAAACTAATGTTACTTGTCATGGAGGAGAAGAGAGAGAAAAGCCAGAAACACATGAGCATGTGCGCGGCTTACAAGGCCAGCGATTCGTCACGTGGACAGGAGCAGGAAATACGAAATACAAATGTAAGAATAAACAATGGTCAGTAATCATTGGCCTATACTACACTTGCACGCACTCATTGGCCTATACTACACTTGCACGCACTCATTGGCCTATACCACACTTGCACGCACTCATTGGCCTATACTACACTTGCATGCACTCATTGGCCTATACTACACTTGCATGCACTCATTGGCCTATACTACACTTGCACGCACTCATTGGCCTATACTACACTTGCACGCACTCATTGGCCTATACTACACTTGCACGCACTCATTGGCCTATACTACACTTGCACGCACTCATTGGCCTATACTACACTTGCATGCACTCATTGGCCTATACTACACTTGCATGCACTCATTGGCCTATACTACACTTGCACGCACTCATTGGCCTATACTACACTTGCATGCACTCATTGGCCTATACTACACTTGCACGCACTCATTGGCCTATACTACACTTGCATGCACTCATTGGCCTATACTACACTTGCATGCACTCATTGGCCTATACTACACTTGCATGCACTCATTGGCCTATACTACACTGGCACGCACTCATTGGCCTATACTACACTTGCACGCACTCATTGGCCTATACTACACTTGCACGCACTCATTGGCCTATACTACACTTGCATGCACTCATTGGCCTATACTACACTTGCACGCACTCATTGGCCTATACTACACTTACACGCACTCATTGGCCTATACTACACTTGCACGCACTCATTGGCCTATACTACACTTGCACGCACTCATTGGCCTATACTACACTTGCATGCACTCATTGGCCTATACTACACTTGCATGCACTCATTGGCCTATACTACACTTGCATGCACTCATTGGCCTATACTACACTTGCATGCACTCATTGGCCTATACTACACTTGCACGCACTCATTGGCCTATACTACACTTGCACGCACTCATTGGCCTATACTACACTTGCATGCACTCATTGGCCTATACTACACTTGCATGCACTCATTGGCCTATACTACACTTGCATGCACTCATTGGCCTATACTACACTTGCACGCACTCATTGGCCTATACTACACTTGCATGCACTCATTGGCCTATACTACACTTACACGCACTCATTGGCCTATACTACACTTGCACGCACTCATTGGCCTATACTACACTTGCACGCACTCATTGGCCTATACTACACTTGCATGCACTCATTGGCCTATACTACACTTGCATGCACTCATTGGCCTATACTACACTTGCACACACTCAATGGCCTATACTACACTTGCACGCACTCATTGGCCTATACTACACTTGCACGCACTCATTGGCCTATACTACACTTGCACGCACTCATTGGCCTATACTACACTTGCATGCACTCATTGGCCTATACTACACTTGCACGCACTCATTGGCCTATACTACACTTGCACGCACTCATTGGCCTATACTACACTTGCACGCACTCATTGGCCTATACTACACTTGCACGCACTCATTGGCCTATACTACACTTGCACGCACTCATTGGCCTATACTACACTTGCACGCACTCATTGGCCTATACTACACTTGCACGCACTCATTGGCCTATACTACACTTGCATGCACTCATTGGCCTATACTACACTTGCATGCACTCATTGGCCTATACTACACTTGCATGCACTCATTGGCCTATACTACACTTGCATGCACTCATTGGCCTATACTACACTTGCACGCACTCATTGGCCTATACTACACTTGCATGCACTCATTGGCCTATACTACACTTGCACGCACTCATTGGCCTATACTACACTTGCATGCACTCATTGGCCTATACTACACTTGCACGCACTCATTGGCCTATACTACACTTGCACGCACTCATTGGCCTATACTACACTTGCACGCACTCATTGGCCTATACTACACTTGCATGCACTCATTGGCCTATACTACACTTGCACGCACTCATTGGCCTATACTACACTTGCACGCACTCATTGGCCTATACTACACTTGCACGCACTCATTGGCCTATACTACACTTGCATGCACTCATTGGCCTATACTACACTTGCACGCACTCATTGGCCTATACTACACTTGCATGCACTCATTGGCCTATACTACACTTACACGCACTCATTGGCCTATACTACACTTGCACGCACTCATTGGCCTATACTACACTTGCACGCACTCATTGGCCTATACTACACTTGCATGCACTCATTGGCCTATACTACACTTGCACGCACTCATTGGCCTATACTACACTTGCATGCACTCATTGGCCTATACTACACTTGCACGCACTCATTGGCCTATACTACACTTGCACGCACTCATTGGCCTATACTACACTTGCATGCACTACATGTACACTTACTACACTTACACTTACTACACTTGCACGCACTTGAGAAACGCCTCAACTTCACAAGCTATGTATTTGTTTACCGCTGCCTGAATGGACTTGCTAGTCCTCTTCTGCGAGACCGCTTTACCTTGCGCGCCCATGTTGCTCACACTGCAGCCACCACCCGAGGCCAAGTCTCTGCTGCTCTTGTTCTGCCCCCCCCCCCCCGCTAACACCCGATATGGCTTTAGTGAAATTTCTTATTTGGGCGCTGCCAGGTGGAATACACTTCCACCGGCTTGCCGCATGTCTAGTTCACCAGCTGAATTTCGCACATCCATGAAAGTATACCTAGGGTTCCCTGTGAAAAGGCGCTGACGCCTGTTGGGAATTCCCTAGTAAAAGACGAATGAATAATAATAATAATGATTACGAAGTAGTGGTTGCGACTTCGGCGATGATTTGTAAGCGATGATTTGTAAGAAAGGGGAGCAAACCTTTCTTAATAATAATAATTCTTATTATTACTTCCTCCGCGTCATCGAAATTGTCGCAGTTTGACTTTTGATATAAAACGGGGTATTTACTCACCAGCACTCGTACCACAGGTAAGGAATCGGACATAGGCGATGGTCATCAGTATAGGGTGACGGCAAAGTTCTATTTTCTGTTATTGGAAGCTGGAATTTTTGAACTAGACGCAATTTCTTCGCTGATGTCGCTGCGATGGTAATTTCGACTCGCTGAGATAAGTCAGGCGTTGAAGCCTGCACAGTTCTCGTGCTTATGTCCATTCACTCATCACTGTTTTACCTTAGCTGGGGTGAGAATGACTTCGTGGAACAAGTGGCAGCGCTTGGAGAAACATCGAGGGGTCAGCAAACTAAATGCCTGCAACAGCGATAAAATTTGTCGCTCTGGCCGAGACACTCAGTACATGATTGTACCTGCAAGAGGCGTGTAGACTCTACATGTAGTGCTACATTTTTGTGATGCACGCGCAGGTGCCGTACCACCAGTGAATCAGAGCCGGGCAGTGATGCTGAAAAAGAGGGCGCGATGGACGTGATAGTACACTTACCTGCATGAGCTGTGACCACACAGCTAAAATAAATGGGCATGCCACGGCTAAAAAAAGTTCATTTCAAGATCGAGGTGATTCCGCCGACGGTAATCAACCGACATCGCAACGATCGTGTATTCTTACTAGGCTTCGTTGGTGGTGAAGTAGAAATCATCCAGAGCTAGCAGACGACAAGCATAGCAGCTCTTGTCCTGTGGAGAAAGTCAAAGCGTTTGAGATGAGGCGCGACCAACTTTCAACCTTCCTTGAAATATTTCGGAACGATATTTTTGCGTCCATTGACATCAGCGACGACGAGGACTTCATCTCTGCATGAAAACTCTCAATCCAACTGTGGAACGTTACTCTAGGCTTCAGACTATCATACTGTGTAATACGTTTTGAATGGCTTAGCTTATGGAGTTGTCAGTAACAAGTGACAAGTCACTAGTCAAACTGCGACAATTTCGATGACGCGGAGGAAGTATAATAACTGATGAGGGGTGAATTCCCCCGAAACACTGTGTATTGAGCAGGGAGTCGTGCTTTCTCTCAGGTTTGCCGAGCGGAAGGGACAATGTGCTCCTTATGCTCCGAATGGCAGTCGTGAGTCAGTCAAGTGTCGAGTTCGGCAAGAAGCGTGTGCTCCTCGTTGAATCAACCAACTTCATTAATTTTACATTGATTTAATCATGGCCACGGCCAGGCGACAGACAAACAAGTCCACTCCATGCTTGATGTGGATATACTTTTGTACTTCATGCACTTGACTGCTTTCCTCGTAGCAGGATTATTCATCTTATGATTGCTTTACAACTTACGAGTACATGATCCAACCTTAGTTGTTCCATTACACACTGGTTGACCATCAAGGTACTCATATCCAAAATCACACTTAACCATACCAGCAGGTGATATACTAGCAATATGATCTCCAGAACTGCGTTCACAAGCTGAAAGAAGAAGAAAAACAATTGGAAACAGATCATTCCCAAGCTTGTCAGAACGCTCTTGAATTAATAGGTATACAACCTAGAAGATTGCATTCAATGGTCTACGAATATTCTTATCCAAATGATGAATTTGGTTCTTGATGTTCTTTTGCGAACACTGAAACTAAAGTCATCATCAGCTTTTTCGTGTTAGCATCGACGTCAGCCTAGCCTTCGCTTGAGCCACACCTAATGTTAAACATAATACCAGAAGAGGAGGGGAGAAAAGAGAGAAAATACGGAATGGGTAAACATATTGGTGAACAAACACTTGATCATGTTCGCACGCAGCGAAATGTCATCAGCAAACTGAATAGTGGTGACGTCATGAGGGGCAAGGCCGCGGGCAATATCCCTAACATACAGAACGAAGAGCAGAGGTGCGAGAACTGACCCTTGAGGAACCCCTGACTGGCTGTCATAAGTTGTACTTCGGGTTTTTCCTGTCTCCACGTATTGCCGGCGATACATCAAGTATTCTGTAAACCTTTGCAAAGCAGTGCTAGTGAGACCCAGTTAAAAGAGGTCCTCAACCGAAATGCTATCCTTTACCTTGTTGAAGGCTTTCCACATGTCCACAAATGCCCCTCCGGTTTGCTGTCTGGCGACTGAATTATGTGGCGCATGAAATCACGCAATTTGGCATTGCATGCACCTATACGAACACGATTGTGTGCACTGGTGTGTGTTTGATATACTGAAAGAGCTTCTGCTAAAATATCGTGGCATAATACTTACGAAATTCACAAACCACAGGTTGTTTAGCATATTGGACACGGGTTGAGTCTCCAGTGACATATGCATTTTGTAGGATATTGCCTTCGGTTTGATTTATCCACGCTGGCTGCCAAGTAAGTAAACCAATTGTGCAATTATTCGCATTTGCTATTGTGCCAAGAACTTTGCCATTCACACTTCCACATAGAACCTTTGCTTGTAAAAATGTGAATAGGTGCAGCGTCCTTTTTAGAATTACATCACCAGTACAATACCGATGGCCTACCAAACCCAGGCCTGTCTCTGCACACAAACATGGGCACATTGAAAAGAAAAAAACACCGCCGAATACACATGACGGTGCATGCCCACAGAAAATTCACACACACGCACGCACGCACGCACGCACACACACACACACACACACACATACACACAAGCAAAATGAAGTAGCAATAGGAATATACATACAAACACACAAGCAGTTGCGACTCCTGCTAAAAAAACATTGGATATCGTTATAATTATTATGTTACAGTTATAAATCTCAAACTCCCCTGTGGTCTGCACCATTATTGAGATATTGTAATTTTCAGAGTCTGCGAAGGGACCACTTATTATTAATGTAGGTTTGCAGCGTACGGCAAACCGTAGTTATCGCGGACAGCCGAGCAGCAGGGAAATGCCCCGCGCTCGGCTAGGCGCGCAACAATGGGAGTGTCTGGCATGCAATGGCAGGCAACTGTACTAGGGAAAGCCAAGGTTCCACCATGAGCACTAGTACGCCCACATCCGAGACTATCCCATATTTCCATGAAGGTTGTAGTGCTACAAATGCAAGGATTACTACAGACAGGGCTCATGCATGCTGCCTAGTCACTATATTCGGAGGCAGGTCCTTTTGTGGCACGAAAGGGCTCCAGCGCGCGTACTAAGCCTCAACCAAGCGGCAAGGCATAGTATAGTACTAACCGAGCATGCAAGATAAAAAAAACTGCGACAAGGCGGAATGGGGAAAGGACTACTTGGTCCGCGTCAGCAATATTGTCGCTTATCTTTCGACAATTTGAACTTAGACTTTGGACATGAACGCGTGCAGCTGAAGTGATAAAACTTGGTACGATGGACGGTAAGATATAGAATGACAACTAGCTGCGAGGAATTTATTGTCCAAGGAAGGGTTCCTACTTTGTTCGGTCCTCCTCGTCGCTGCTCTCGGCGTTGGCGACAAATAATTTTGCTCGGGATCGACCCCCTTGCTTTTGCAAGCTCGTCTCTCTTCCTCTCCGCTGCCTGGCTATTTTCTAAAGAGAAGTCGATCGTGACGGTCGCCTTCTCTATAGGACTTTGCCTGGGCAGCACGACAGCCTGTGTGGTTCAAATCAGACGCCGTTCTTTGCAAGATTTTATTTTGAACGACGACGATGCGTGCAGTACATGTACTTGCAAATCTCCACGACGCGCTGGATACTCCGAGCGAGGAGCTGGAGGTAAGGGAGCTGCAATCTGAGCTTGATGAGCGATCCCTGAGGTGAGCGATCTCGGCCGTTCAGCAAAATGGAGCTGATTCCGAGTAGCCTATTACTTTCTTGTGGCTTGCGCTGCTCTTGCCTGCACAGCGTAACCAGATAATCTATTTTGATGCGGCGCTGTATCAATCAGAATCACCCACCTGTCGCTCTCAAAATCCACTCGAACTCTAGCTAGACCTTTCAGGTACTAGCAAACTAACTTGCTAACCAAAAGTGGGATGAAATGGACTGCCAAGTAAGCATTGGCGACATATAAACAAAGCTGAAAGATAAGCGACAATATCGCTAACGCGAACCAAGTAGTTCAAAGCCATCCATCGGTAGCTGCAAATTATCGTCCTGTGTCGCTCCTGCCAATCGTATCCAAACAACTCGAGAAGATAGTCCAGAAGCAACTTGTTGCACATCTGGAGCGATCATGTGCCATTTTTGTAAAAAAAGTATGAATTTTAATTAACTACTGTGCCTTTGTTGTGCCAGGAGATGTTGATGTGTCGGGAGTTGTCCGTCCAAAACTCTACTAAAGACCGCTTTTGCTGGCACCAAGGGCAAGGGGTGGTCGCTAGTCACAGGTTTGACTCTACATGTACTTCTTTTAAAATCTCCCATTTTATTTTCAACACAACCTGGGATTTAAACCCGCACTATCGCCCTGCATGCCTTCCCCGATACACTTTGCATACACACATATTCTTCCAAGTTGCTTTACGTTTTGATCTTGCATTTGAATTGTTTTTTTACCAGTTCCAAACCTCTTGTAGTACGGGCAACATAAACACAAGTGCTGGGTCAACAGCTTAGTACCGATAGAAAATGAGCTAAAATGGCTGTGAAAACAGTCTTATACGGAGGAAGCTACAATGGCTGTGAAAACAGTTTAATAAGGAGGGAGCTAAAATGGCTGTGAAGTCAGGCTAATGCCTAGCAAGGCGAGCCTCAGCCTGGACGAGGTCGACAGGCACAAGGTTGACTTGACGGCGGCGAACGGAGCGTGATCCTCGAACGCACCGGATCGCAGACGTAGCAAGAGAGAAAGCCAAGCAGCAACGCATCCAGCAAACGACTTTGCTGCAGCTCTCCTTACGCTTAGAAACCAGAGCATCAGCAATCCGCTTGACGACGATGTTTGCCTCTGGACTCATTCCGCCTCAAGAGGAGAAAACCAGCGGTGTGAACGAGCCATGTTCAACTTGGTTGACTCTTTCGCCATGCATTTGAATACCCTATTTGAATATTCTGGCCAGCTGCCTTTGATGGTACGGTATTGTACGGTACGGGTACAGGTACGGGATAGCGCCAGGCGTGCCGATGGCACAAACAAACACGGAATTGAAGCTGTGTGAACCCTGGCTAGTGCCAGACGCTACTGACGTCTTACTCTTACTTTGATATATCATTAGTGCAATTAAGAGTATAATAGATGCAGACATGGCCAGACAACAACGAGTTCATGGAATTTTAAAAGGATTTTTATGTTATTCAAAATCTATTTTCGTGTTCCGCTCATCAGTGAATAGTATCTATTATACTCTTAATTGCACTAATAAAATTGCTTTCTCCACGCCGACTCTTTAGATATATCAACAAAAATTATAATTTTTTGTTCACAGATGTCTTGGGGCTGAAAGGATCAGTAGTCTTTTCAGCACTTTCTTTGATTTGGTCAACTGTCGTGCCACGCGTGGTCAGGCTTCACATCTGCTTTGTGTCCCGTTTTCGCCGTGTCCTTCCGGTCCATCCACCGATCAGTTCATTGGTAGTGTGCACTGGAACTGCCTGCCGCCTAATGTCCACTCCATCACAATTCCTTCTGCATTTAAGAAAGCAATTACAAACGATATCTTAAACTCTCTTACCCTCTCCTAAGATCTCAAAGACGCATAACTGTCAGCATTCCCTCAACCCTGGAACCTTTGGATCTGTTGCATTATTTTCATAAAGAATACATCAAATTCCAATTGGTTACTGGTAGTACTCCCTTATTGATTTGTTTCTGTCTTCTCTTTGTGCCTTGTTCTTGATTGTATTTTCCTCTTCCTCCTTTTCTTATATCACCACCTTCATCATTTTGCGAGAACTGTGGCAATACGCCCAGTGAGAAGGCAGATTTTGCATGTGCTTCTGGTGAAGTAAAGAAAAACCGTTCGCGTGAGACTCGGTTTCTCTATATAGAGGCCGAGTTTTCCGCATCCGTAGGAAGGCCACCACCCTTCAAGGATCAAGGCGCAGATGCAGCTTCTAAAGCAAATAATATGTACAAATAAAGCGAAGCAAACAAACAAACAACAAACTAACGTAACGTAGTTTGCATAGCTACAGGAATTGAAGATGTGAACACCCTTGCTAGCGCCAGACGTTAATGAAGTAACTGAAGTAACGTATTTTGCATAGCTATGGGAATAATAATAATTTTATGCAGGATTGTAAGCACAATAAGGCTGTTTCTACTTACTCTCACAAGTAGGAGTCGCACTTAGATTTCCATTCGCCTCACAAATCGGGATTGCAGATTTTACAAGACCATCATTGCAGGAGTAGTTAAGTACTTCACTGTACTTTTTAAATGTTTTCGTACTGGCTCCATTAACAATGCTGGGCACTTTACACATGATAGCTGCAAATTTACATAAGGTTACAGGAATTGCAGGAAAGAAAATGTTTAAGAGCCAATGTCTGTAACGACCAAATATCACCGGATATGGTCAAAATTTCCGATTTCGCTGAAAATGATTACTCCTTTTAACCCGAAGCGGACCTCATTCACCCACTATGATAAATTGGTCCAGAAACCCCATGTTCTTTAGATATTGACCAGCAATTCAGCCTGTCCTATGGCACCGATTGCGAAGGCCATCTTCAAGGGCCAGTAGCATCGAGGTAACATCTTGAAATTGGGAGTAGAGCTCCACCATTGTGTGCGACAACATTTCCTCATGCACCAACAAGTGGTCTTGAATTAATTTTTACACGAAAAATCATTTGGGGAAATATTCATATGTTGTATTCTCTACCGGACACGCACTATATGAATCCAACCTTGTGGCAAGAAAGCACATGCTAAATGTATTGGCAGAGATTCCATTTATAATGGTTGGCACGTTGCACATGATCATTTTACAAACAGTTACAGGAAAGGTAAGAAGGCAACAATGCCAATATATAAACGACGACATCAAGGCAGGAACACATGCGTTTGGGGTGCATTCCACTGACAGATGAAGGAGACTGTGTATCACGAGTTCGGGTGTGGGAAGCTGTTGTGTGGGCAAAGCAGGCTCGTCATTTGGTTCCTAGTGGTCTGCATCTCTCTTAGCCAATTTTCGATCTAAATTATCTGCAGGCATTGTGAAGAAGAGGTGTTGCGTCTTTGGCAATATTCGTGAATTGGGAATTACTCTCTGCTTTGTTGAGGTTTTGGCGATACTTGGGAATCGGGCAATACTCTTTGTCTTTCTTTTGTCTTTATTGTGTGTGCGTGTGTGTGTGTGTGTGTAGTGTAGTGTGTGCTAAAAATAGTGGCGGTCAATTCATCAGCCTTGTAAGCTGTTGAATGGTGTAATCCCAGCACAAGTTGCTATGTCTAACATAACTGTTCGCTATCATCGCTTCTGCGATGGGCAGGTCTGAGGTCTGAGGTGTGTGTGTGTGTGTGTGTGTGTGTGTGTGTGTGTGTGTGTGTGTGTGTGTGTGTGTGTGTGTGTGTGTGTGTGTGTGTGTGTGTGTGTGTGTGTGTGTGTGTGTGTGTGTGTGTGTGTGTGGGTGTGTGTGTGTGCGTATGAACCACAGGCTTATTGTACAGTCAACACCAAAATGTAACAAGTTTATGGGGAAGCATAAGCAACTACGAGAGCCGATACCTCATATTTCCACCACCACTTTCCGCATTCATTCGGGAGCATAATGGACTTAGTTAAAAAAATTTGAATCTTGCCACAATTGCGCCAGCCAAGTGCAAGTTGTTCTAGCCAATAGTATTCAACCTTCAAGTAATAAATCTGATATTGGTTACCAGTAGACATTGTTTGGCATAGAACACAAGCACATATGCCGCACTTCCAGGATGCTATGTCCTCGTATGCCTTTTTGCATCCACTGAAATCATCAATATCATCACAGCTTTCACCTTGGCATAAGCGTCTGCCTAGCCTTTACTTTTCTTCTTCTTTTTTTACACCAAATTTTAGACATGATAACAAAAGAGAAGGGGATAAAAGAGAGAAAAATATGGAAACATAGCCAGCAATCGCATGTCATTACGTACATTCAAAATCAACGTAATTATGCGAATCGACCTTTTTTTCAGTATCACTTTTCAACGAGGACGCAGCAAAGTCGGCCGAACAAAGTTCAGAGGAAGAAAATCACCCTCTCCACATCACCATCACGATACTGACATAGATACAAGACGAAAGAACTAAAAAATCCACAAGAAAACTGGCTGGCCATCTTCGCGCTGACATTGGTCTGAGAATTTCTATCACGATAACAATTGTGCGAGGAGCACTCAAAATAAGCTACAGACGTACCTTTATCACTCTCTACTACTTTTTCAAGGCACAAAAGTCGACTCTCCACTTTCAAACCAGGAACCAGACATACCAGTTGCCATTTTCAGCTGCTCCACGAGCGCAGGAAATGTTCACCAAGGGGCGCAGAGCAGCCTCCATTCCAGAAAAAGAGGTAAAATACGAGTGAGACTGCATGCCTGAGTACATGAGTACATGCATGAGTACATGCTGAAAATAGTCAATTTCGGCGTTTCTGCTCCAAACAGTAACTTCCTTCGACTAGCTACAAAGTTTACACCAAAGGATCAAACAACAACCATTTTCTTCATTTTTTGGCAGATGGCTTCCTTGCGCTTGGCCCAGCACGCCAAAAATCACACCTCGGAGGTGTACAAAAACTAAAACTCTCAGATATCCTCGATTGCTGGCCATGAGGGCAAAGAAATAGGCGAACATATAAGCGGCAGGGATGAATTTACTGTCATATTTTTGCATAGTGGTTTCTGCTATACGAAATCACAATTGTGTAGCAGTCTTTGATTTTTATTAGCATTTTTTCTTTGAAGGTAGGGTATTTACCACATTGTCCTTCTTGAGAGTGATGCCGAAAGCCCATTTGCAAAAAAAACACTGAAGCATACATATGCACGCAGATTGAGAGTGTCTGCACCACATACACCGCACTGTATGCATGTTACATGACAGCACAGGCTAGGCATGGATAGGGTGTATGCATCGCAATTTTCTGCGAGTCATGGTGACTTTTGAGTAGCAGTAGATCGATTTTGCATCGCAAACTGCGATGCGATACAGGATAAATTCATCCCTGGGCGGGAACAGGGAGCGGGTAGGAGACGACAACATTTATTATAGTGACAGAGACACGGAAAGATAGACGAACGCCTACATTATGACAGAGAGACGAGTGACAAACAAGTCCACTCGATGTTTGATGTGGATATAAACGGTAAAACTAACTGAAAGACCTGAATAAGCAGTGGAGCTAAGCGCAGTCAACGGAAGTTCCCTGATTTCATTGCTAAAACCCTGAAGTTTGCTTTCTTCACTTCTGTACATCATGCACTTGACTGTTTCCTTCGTGGCAAGGCCTATGTGAGCCGCGCCAAGCTAAAAAGTGGCTTAGCGTTTTGCCAACAAATCGAGATAATCACCAAAACGTCACAGTCGGCAAAATTCTACTCGAGCGCAGTCGCGAAAATATTCACTTTCGAGCACCCTTTGAACCTTTCAAATAGTTTGGAGAAGAAGAAAGAGGCCATTTTTTAGCAACATTTCTTCAGTGTTCCCTCTTTCATCGTTTTGGGGATTTCTTGCCCCTGCCAGAGATCGTAATGGAGCGTTCTGAAGAATGTGGAGGTGAGCAGGATGACACTCTGTCTCCGTGTGCGCCCAACCCCACTTGACGAGGAAGATTCGCTCATTCATAGTGGCCGTGTTTCTCATCGTGGCCACGACTAGAGCGGCTAGTATAGCTATGGGGAGACGTGTACAAGCCGTCCGACTATCATTCTGACAAGCGGCCTGGTGAGTTGGCTCTTGCTGCGATGTTTCACTTTGTTTCGGCACCTTCAAATGTTCATGACGTGGCGTACTGTATTCCAAAATTTCCTCATTTCAAGGCCAATGGTGCCACACGACGAAGCGACGCATTGACTCTACCTGTAAGCATATCGTCCCGTGGTGCCTTCTACCACAACCTGCACCAGGGAAGGAGAATGACATGGACTAGGACGGACAAATAATCAGTGCCGCTTTTTAGCGATGTGCTGTCTGCTGCACCTACACTTACGTGCAAGGGACGGATGGAGCTCGATCTCCGGCACAATACTACGACAGTACGAGCTACATGAAAGGATTAATTCATGCTGGCATAGGTGATTGGAGAGAGTATGACGGACTGTCTTGGTACGATTCGACGTATCCCAGCCCAGCGAAAATATAGTCACAGACTCACAACATCATTGAAGGATGTGAAAATTCGTGTTGCGTGAAATCATGAGATACATAGATCAATTATTTATTCTTTCTTTGGATCTTCTAATTAGAACACAAGTGCTCGTTCTTCTTGTATTGCTTCCACACCTGCTAAGCTTTGCCTCCACTTGGTGTCAATTGATTTTGGGAGTTTGGGCCGGTCTTCAAACCCTTATACCAGGTATGCTGTGACATGTGCGCAATGTATACGTATTTATGGCACATATACATTTCAGATGGGCACCAAAATTTCCCTGATGGAAGTTGAATAGGTAGACATCACTTTGGCATGGAAAAAGAAATTTCCAAAAATTATGCCTAAGCCACCTTTTTGCTTGGCTCGGTTCATGTGTCTTATGATACCTTTACAACTTACGAGTACATGATCCAACCTTAGTTGTTCCATTACACACTGGTTGATCATCAAGGTACTCATATCCAAAATCACACGTAACCATACCAGCAGGTGATATACTAGCAATATGATCTCCATGACTGCGTACGCAAGCTGAAAAAAGAAGAAAAACAATTTGAAACAGATCAAAAGAAATGTCATTTGCAATCTTGAGAGAATGCCTTGGTTAAACATGTATACAGCTAAGAAGATTGCATTCCAAAGTCTATGATTATTCACGCTCTAATGATCAAACTGTTAAGAGTAACTCTCCATCACTGTAACCAGATGCTATAATTATACTGTCAGAAAGTGCAACAAATAGGCACAAAACTGACATACTACTGAGACATTCAACGTCCTGACACCTGGCTTCAACACATCTCTCTAGCGCTACCCAACAGCCTTCCAACTTGGAAGGTTCAAGGTTATGGAGAGACAAAAGAGGGGAAGGTAAGTGAAACGAAAACGCGCACAAGCTGTAGTCCCATGGAACAAAGAATGTCAATTGTTACTGGACGATGACGAGACCAGTAAGATACTTGACAAAGCGGTCTAACTACAATTCAAAGCAGCACACCACCCAACTTGTGATGGAGAGTTACTCTTAACGCGTATCCATATGTCCTTTGGCTTTCTACATTTATTATGGCTCAAAGTCCAAGTTTCAAAAGACTAAGAGGATTTGACTCTTTATTGCTTGCTTTTCTTCAGCAGGTCTGGTCACCTTCTGTTCTCCCTTTCTCCTAACCAACATGTGTTCTCATTTTCTGAAAACCTTGAACATGTTGGACGATGTAGTGTATGACTAGGGGAAAGGATTAGATTATGATTCCTAGTGCAGTAGTCATCTGCATGTTCAAATGAATGCCATTTTTGCAGGATGTGTTGTTTTGATCACTGTCTAGAACGATCCACTCTCATCGCGTTTGGAATAAGAAGTGAAACAAGCCCATTATGTTAAAAATAATTTATTCCCGTAGCTATGCAGAAGACGTTACTTCAGTAACGTCTGGCGCTAGCCAGGGTCCACACAGCTTTAATTTGGTATTTGTTTGTGTGTTTGTCTGTGTCACGCCTGGCGCTATCTGTATCTGACGGCAAAAAAGCATAGGATGTTATAAATTTTTCAATTCTCCTTTATTTTTTTCAGGCATATCCTGGGATTCGAACCCGCACTATCACCCTACATGCATTCCCCCATACACTTCGCATTCATACCCATTCTTCCAAGTTGCTTCACGTTATTATCTTGCGTTTGAAAGCCCTATTTGAATATTGCGGGCAGCTGTATGTGGCCAGCTGTGTTTGATGGTACGGTACGGTACGGGAGACGGTGTCGTATTACCCTCGATCGTACCTGTCCCGTACCTATCCCCTACCGTACCGTGCCATCAAAGACGGCTGGCCACAATGCATATTCAAAGAGTGCTTTTAAATGCAAGGTCACAATGTGAAACAACTTGGAAGAATTAGTGTGTATGCGAAGTGTACCGGGGATGCATGCAGGGCGCGCGATAGTGCGGGTTCGAATCCCAGGTTGTTATGTCTTAAAAAAAAGGATTTTTTTATAGAATTTATAACATCCCTATGTTTTTTTTCTAGGTCATCAAGGCAAAAAAGCATAGCGAAGGGCCCTGAGCTTCCAAGCTCTCTCGTTTCATGATTGGTTTTAGCTGGAAATTTCCCACAGTCGAACGGCCACGCAGCAGAGTCCGCCGTTCGAGCTATGACACACGTGGTCTCGAAGTACATGCACCAAGGCAATCTTCAAGATGAGGCCTTCGATACCGCCTTGCTGGAGTGGCGCAACACTCTAATGCAGCGGGCGTGTCGCCCGCCTAGATGCTATTTGGACACCCGCTGCGTACACTCATCCCGGCTCATTGAAGTGTTATGTTAACTTTATTTTTACTTCACCATAGGTACAGGCAGTGCTGCCTTCTTGCTGTGGATCATAAATGATGCCACAGCTCCTAGGCTAGGATGAAAAATATAATAGTATGATAGATTAATATGATAAAATATGAACAGTATGCGAAGTAATAAGATGTCATGACTGTCAGCAGGACAATTATATAAAAATACCATGCAGCAGTGTATTTATGTGTTTTGTGGTTGTGTATTCGAGCCTTCGTGGAACCAAGCTGCCACCTTTCTGGATCGAGAAGTTGCCGCTCACAAAGCCGCATCCGAGTACGACGGATCAGCTCACCCACTCCAACCCTTGGCTGATGGTTGCCAGGTCCTAGTGCAGAATCCTCCCACCAAGAAGTGGAACCAGGTCTGGACAACCATCTGTATTGATCGTACCCCCAGTTACAATGTCCACCTTCCAAGCGGCCGCATACTCTGGCGCAGCCGCCTGTACCTCCGCTCGCTGCCACTGCCGTCAGCTTCCGGTCTCGGTCAGTCTCCAAGCTCGGACAACACTTAGACTCTCTTTCAGGCTGCAGAGCGGACACCCAGCCCCTCGTCGCATTCCTCGATTACCGTCCGGCCGCATAGCTCCCACAGCAGAAAGCAATAATTGATCGTTTCTGTTTTCATCTTTATTCCGTTACATTTGTCTCTTTTAAAACGTTTCTTCAGAATTCCCTAACTCCATTGCAGCGTATTTCTTGCACTTAAAGATACCGCCATTCCGGCAACAGGCTCTCAGCTGCACCAAATAGATAACTTTGCCAATATTTCGAGTTGCAAAACAAAGTGTATATGGCTTAATTCATCCTGGCATAGGTGATTGGAGAGAGTATGACGAACTTTCTTGGTAAGATGCATCGTTTCCCAGCCCAGCGACAAATAAAGTCACAACATCATTGAAGGATGTGAAAATTCGTGTTGACATGAGATCTAGAACCGTTATTTCTCCTTTCTTGGATCTTCTAATTGGAACACAAGTGCTCATCCTTCGTTTATTGCTTGCACACCTGCGAAGCTTTGTCTCCACTTGGTGTCCTATGTTTTCTTGGAGTTTTGGCAGGTCTTTGAATCCTTAGTGTCATTGATACCAGGCATTCTGTGACATGTGCACAATGTATGCTTATTTTTGGCAGATATACATTTCAAATGGGCACCAAAATTTCCATGTTGGAAGTTGGATATATAGACATCACTTTGGCATGAACAAATTTTTTTCCAAAAATTATGCCTAAACCACCTTTTAGCTCGGCTCGGATCAGTTTACGTTTTCTTGCAATCAGTTCAAACTTTTTGCTCGTGACTTAGTCCTACCTGGGGGGATAATCCTTCACATCAGTGCATGTATATTGTGGGCATCGAAGAAAAGGGCTTGGATCTCAGCTGTGAAGCGCAGCTGGAATCTTGAATATCGATTGAGTTCACGAGACTGATGGCGAACGGAAATGAGTCCTCTAGGGTACTGTTGAAATCATACTTCTCAGATTGCCTGCACTGTCACTGTATGATCACAATCCACCGCATGATCTTACCCTATGCTAGTGACCCACAACAGTGTGCTGCCTCTGCTCATGGGTGTAGAAGTTCACTGCAAACATATCGATTGAATTATATGGCAAATGCAATCAAAACAGGCAAAATGCCTAATACCATTGGACCCACTGTGAATAAAATGTGAAGGATATTGTGGAAAAGTAAGATATCAATCCAGTGAGCATTGGAAAACCTATGTTGCTGATAATATATACTGCAAGGCTTGAGAGTTTGAAATCAAAATACCTATTTGAACATTTTGCTGCTGGGGGCAATCTATTCCACATAATGGCTCCAGGGTGCGTTAGGCGCTTAGCAGAACGAGCAGTGCTAGCAGGTGGGACCACAAGCAAGTTGCTTTGGCCTCCTCGAGTACAGGACAGCAAAAAGGACTGAAATAGGGTGCTACATGCACCATGCAAACATCGCCAGATGAAACGAAACATATTCAAGTGCACAGAAACCTGTAGATCACGTACATGCATTCGATTTAGCAGGGTGCAGTACTGGTCCACGGTGGCGACTTGCAGACTGCCCGAGCGGCATGTTTGAACAGCCTATGTAGCGGTTGTTCCTGAGCAACTGACAAATGCGGGTAGTAACTAATAGAAGCATACAAAAATTCAGGCAAAATGATAGATCTGAAGTAGGTGAGTCGGCATGGATATGGCAGCAAGGAAGCATGTCGCAGCAGGACAGAAATTTTGCAGGCAACACGACGAGCAACATGGTCCACCACTGTGGTCCAACTCATGTCCGAGTCAAAATGCAGGCCAAGGTATTTGGCAGACTACTGGTAGGACTTGTGAATTGCATACCACATTGATGTCGAGGGTTGTAGGTCTATGGTGTGGTATGGCGAGTATCTGCGTCTTGGTCTCGTTAAGGATCAGTCCAAGTTTCTTCAACCAAGTCGCCAGGTACTGAACAGCTGCAGTGAGGCGCTGGGAGACAACTTCTGGCTGTGGACTGCTCGCACGCAGCGAGATGTCATCAGCAAACTGAATAGTGGTGGAGTCATGAGGGGCAAGGCCGCGGGCAATATCCCTAACATACAGAATGAAGAGCAGAGGTGCGAGAACTGACCCTTGAGGAACCCCTGACTGGCTGTCATAAGTTGTACTTCTGGTTTTTCCTGTCTGCACGTATTGCCGGCGATACATCAAGTATTCTGTAAACCTTTGCAAAGTAGTGCTAGTGAGACGCAGTTCAAAGAGGTCCTCAACCAGAATGCTATGCTTTACCTTGTCGAAGGCTTTCCACATGTCCACAAATGCCCCTCCGGGTTGCTGTCTGGCGACTGAATTATGTGGCGCATGAAATCACGCAATTTGGCATTGCATGCACCTATACGAGCACGATTGTGTGCACTGGTGTGTGTTTGACATAGTGAAAGAAGTTCTGCTAAATTATCGGGGCATAATACTTACGAAATTCACAAACCACAGGTTGTTTAGCATATTGGACACGGGTTGAGCCTCCAGTGACATATGCATTTTGTAGGTTATCGCCTTCGATTTGATTTATCCACGCTGGCAGCGAAGTAAGTAAACCAATTGTGCAATTATTCGCATTTGCCATGGGGCCAAGAACTTTGCCATTCACACTTCCACATAGAACCTTTGCTTGTAAAAATGTGAATGCGTGCTGTGTCCTTTTTAGAATTATACCACCAGTACAATACCGATAGCCTACCAAACCCAGGCCTGTCTCTGCACACAAACATGGGCACATTGAAAAGAAGAAAAAACCGTCGAGTTCACATGACGGTGCACGCACACACACACACGCACGCACGCACACACACACACACACACACGCACACGCACACACACACACACACACACACACAAGCAAAATGAAGTAGCAATAGGATTATACATACAAACACACAAGCAGTTGCGACTTCTGCTAAAAAAACATTGGATATCGTTATAATTATTATGTTACAGTTATAAATCTCAAACTCCCCTGTGGTCTGCACCATGATTGAGATATTGTAATTTGCAGCGTCTGCGAAAGGACCACTTATTATGAATGTAGGTTTGCAGCGTACGGCAAACCGTAGTTATTGCGGACAACCGAGCAGCAGGGAAATGCCCCGCGCTCGGCTAGGCGCGCAACAATGGGAGTGTCTGGCATGCAAAGGCGGGCAACCGTACTAGGGAAAGCCCAGGTTGCACCATGAGCACTAGTACGCCCACAGGCGAGACTACCCCATATTTCCATGAAGGTTGTAGTGCTACAAATGCAAGGATCACTACAGACAGGGCTGATGCATGCTGCCTAGTCTCTATATTCGGAGGCAGGTTCTTTTGTGGCACGAAAGGGCTCCAGCGCGCGTACTAAGCCTCAGCCAAGCGGCAAGGCATAGTATAGTACTAACCGAGCATGCAAGATTTAAAAAAAACTGCGACAAGGCGGTACGGGGAAAGGACTAGTTCAAAGAGGGCGATCCATCGGTACCTGCAAATTATCGTCCTGTGTCGCTCCTGCCGATTGTACCCAAACTACTCGAGAAGATAGTCCAGAAGCAACTTGTTGCACATCTAGAGCGATCATGTGTCATACCACCGACGCAGTTTGCCTTCCGCCGTGAGCACTCCACAGAGGACGCCCTAGTTGTAGCAACAGATGCCATCTTAAAGGCCCGGGACGACAAGTTGACCACATGCGTCTGCCTAATCGACATGTCAAAAGCCTTTGACAAGGTCAATCACAGCCAACTGGTCCGGTACCTATTCGATCTCGGCCTGGACAATGCCTCCCTTCGCTGGTTCTGCAGGTACTTAAGCGATCAAAACCAGCAAGTGCGTATTGGCCCCACCTACAATATTGCTGCTAAGTGCTCATCTGGTGTACCTCAGGGCTCGGTCCTAGGACCGATCCTGTTTAGCATGTACACCCGTTATGTCCCTGTCATAACCCATCCTGCTCCATCTCTGCAATTTGCCGATGACATTTCCGTGCACTGCCACAGAAAATCAGTGCTAGCCACATCAGCCTGCCTATCAGGGGCCGTCACCAACGTCGCTGACTGGCTCAAGCATCGACATATGCTTCTAAATGACAAAGAAGAGCCAGGTCCTGTCAATTGTACCACAACGCAATGCGAATCAGTATGTCACTGTCCGCTGCAAGCAGACAGAGCTTCCCCTGAGCCCAACAGCAAGGTACCTCGGCGTGACCCTTGACGCCGCTTTGAAGTGGGATCCCCATGTTGACGCGATGGCGAAGAAAAATGTGCAGAAGATTGGAGCACTGTGGCGGTCCCGCAGATGTCTGAGCCTCAGTAGTCGCATCCAGTATGTGAGGTCAGTCATCATGCCTGACCTCCTATATGGGTCTAACGCCTTCTCTTCCTCCCTCAAGCTTGATCACCTTCAGGTCCTGCAGAACCGAGCGGCGAGAGCGGTATACGGTTTGCCGCCTCACACCTCGGCCCAGCCTCTGCTCGAACGGATGTCCCTGTACAGAGTTCGCGAGTGCTACGCCCAGAAGCGGCTCGTCCTGGTCTGGCCCTGTGTCAATGGGAAAGCCAGCAGTGTCCTCCAGGACCTATTCTCACCATCAGCTGGCAGCACCACCTGGCACCAGGTTTTCAGGGGCCTCACTGTCCCCTCGGCACAGTCAGAAGCCGGCAGATCTCGCCTGGCCTTTCAGGCAGCCTTGGCCTGGAACGCTCTCCCAAGGAGTGTAAGGGAGTTCAAGGCTGCCCAGCAATTTAAGCTTGCCTCCATCCCCTACACCTTGCAATGAATGCTCTGTCTGACTTTTCCCGTCCCCACACCACGTCATTTACTCTTCTCTGTGTGCTTGTGCGCCTATGAACTCTTTGTGTTTCCTCTGCTGACGCTTCAAAATCGCTCTACTGACACTGCAAAATTGCTCTGTTGACGCTGCAAAATTGCTGATCATCTGATTCTCTCTCTCCCTCCCTCTCTCCCTCCCTCCCTCCCTCTCTCTCTCTCTCTCTCTCTCTCTCTCTCTCTCTCTCTCTCTCTCTCTCTCTCTCTCTCTCTCTCTCTCTCTCTCTCTCTCTCTCTCTCTCTCTCTCTCTCTCTCTCTCCCCCCCCCCGTAGCTCTCTCCCTTTTGAAATTCGCTTCCATAGAATTGGACACCATTGCCCGTCTGACCTTGCGAAGTAAAATAAAAATCAACAATACAGTACCAGGCAGAGAAAGGCGGTATGCAGATAGATATGGCGGAGAAATGCATACCACGTATGGAAAAGGCGAAGTCCCCGGTGGCCATCAGGCCCACGATAACATACACCACCATGCTTATATGGAAAATTAGGCACAATTAGGCACGAGAGCTCACCAGGTAACGTGGGCCGCGGGCAGGAAGACAGAAAATAGAGGACTCAGCATGGACCGCATAAGCGCGTGGCAAGCGCAAATGGCGTACGATGTACTCATGAAGGCCACCACGCGAGAGTGCGGCAGCATGGGCTGTGTATGAGAGTACGATGCAGGGGCATCGCAGGGCGGACCAAGCCGTGGTGGTGCAACACAGCCTACAGGCATGAAGCTCCTCAGCAGCTGGAGGTGGCGATCGCAGTGTCATCATCAGTTCTGGCAGCTAGCAGTAGCAGATGGGCTTGATTTTTTTTCAATACTATCAACGAGGAGCAGCAGGCAACCCTCGTTTCACAATGGTGATTGCATAATCACATGGCAAAACAACAAAAATGCAACCCCATTCTACAGTGCTATAATGTGTGTGGCTCGGGGGGATGGGCGATAATTATCTTTATTCCCGTAGCTATGCAGAAGACGTTACTTCAGTAACGTCTGGCGCTAGCCAGGGTCCACACAGCTTTAATTTGGTGTTTGTTTGTTTGTTTGTTTGTGTCACGACTGGAGCTATCCCGTATCTGTCCCGTATCTGTGACTACAAAGGCTCTACAGGATTGTACATAACAGCTGTCCACAATATTTGCAGGCTCCTGTATATGTCCTGTACCGTACCAATATTCGTCGTATTATGTATACGACTCCCTGATGTAGAGGGAGGTTTTGAAAGAAACAGGGAGACGAGGAGGAAATTAAATCAGAATAGACGCCGAATAGGTGATAGGATGCGTCAGCATAAACATACTTTGGAAGAGCGATCCCGTCGTCTCCAAAATAAGCGTGAACGAGCGATTCAGCGCCGGTCACAGGAAACGTCGGAAGAGAGATCCCGTCGACTCCAGAACGCCCGTGATCGGCAGAGTCCGCCGGTCCCAGGCAACGTCAGGGCAGACATCCCGTTGAGTCCAGAACGCCCGTGATCGGCAGAGTCTAAGCCGGTGCCAGGAAATGTCAGGACAGACATCCCGTCGAGTCCAGAACGGCCGTGATCGGCAGAGTCAGCACCGGTCCCAGTAAACGTCAGGACAGACATCCCGTCGACGAGCAGAAAAACTAAATCTGCAGCCTCTTTTGCCGTCGGACAGGATACGTATTTTAGGAGACTGTAAAGTTATGTAATGTCCAAATTTCGACGTGAGCAGCAGGTCACTCGCGTTGATTTTTCGACGTGCGAGCCAAATAACGCGAGCTGAACTTTCACGTCGCAGACATCCAGTCGACGAGCAGAAAAAACTAAATCTGCAGCCTCTTTTGCTGTCGGACAGGATACGTATTTTAGGAGACTGTAAAGTTATGTAATGTGCTCCACAGGCAACCATGCATTCGGCATCATCATTGGCTCAACAGGTCAATGTACATGTATTACTACAAAAAGGCCAGAAAATCCGATTACTGTATTAAAATCAACTAATTTTCGCTGGCGATTTAATTTCGCTGATTTCGCCACTTGGTACCAACCGGCCAAAGTAAATCGCAGGCTAAAGTTTGTCATATAGGCAAATGATGCATGATTGAGCAATGGATGCACGTGAGAGCAAAAATACCGATCGATTTCAAATTTGACGTGAAATTGCGCGTCACGTCGGAAATAACGTGCATCTTAACCTCTCTAATAGCGAGGTTTCTATTTCTCATTGGCCAAAATTTGGTGATTTACAGTATAAGAAGATAAAAAGAAAAGAAGGAGCAAACCAAAAGTAGATGATTATTAGAGAAATAACAATCCGCAATAAATTCTGCAAATACTTTTGCCTAACTCTTAATATTCAAACCGATTGAAACGTTTTTGCAATACAGTGATGTGGCCAATCAACGGAAAAAGACATTTCCATCAGTTCTTATAACATGTACGATGAGCTAGGCAAAAAAGCATAAAAGCATAGCGTAGGGCCCTGAGCTTCCAAGCTCTCTGGTTCTCACGATGGCCGTAGCCAATAAGAGAGAGACAGTACTATGTGTTATCAATCAGAGTGGGTGCAATAAACCGGGAGAAACAGTGACTAGTGGAAGCCGTGGTTTGGGTGCTTCATTTAAGTAAAGACGAGGAAGGAAGTATATACATTGCGAAGGCAGGTAGGTGATAGAGCTGGATTAAAAGACTATACCTGGGCTGGGCTACAGCGGGGAGTGGAACATGTGCAAATTGATGATACTATGATCGGATACCTTCTCTTCTGAATGCATTTGTTTCTCGGAGAGAGTAACAGTGTGGTGGCAGGTGGTTGTACTGAGTGCATGCTGAGTGCAAGGGCAAACATTGTAGGCGGGTGGAGTGGGTGGTGGGGAGGGCAAAGACTCGATGATGCCTCAATTCTCGGCTTGGTGGTGTAGTGGTAGCCGAGTGGAGGCACGG